AGAAAGGGATACTGGTCTGTAGTTGTTGACATCGGAGGGATCGAGTGTAGGTTTTTTGAGAAGGGGTGCAACTCTCGCTCTCTTGAAGACGGAAGGGACATAGCCAGCGGTCAAGAATGAGTTGATGAGCGAGGTGAGGTAAGGGAGAAGGTCTCCGGAAATGGTCTGGAGAAAAGAGGAGGGCATAGGGTCAAGCGGGCAGGTTGTTGGGCGGCCGGCCGTCACAAGTCGCAAGATTTCATCTGGAGAGCGAGGGGAGAAAGAAGTCAAAGCATAGGGTAGGGCAGTGTGAGCAGGACCAGCGGTGTCATTTGACTTAACAAACGAGGATCGGATGTCGTCAACCTTCTTTTCAAAATGGTTGACGAAGTCATCCACAGAGAGGGAGGAGGGGGGAGGGGAGGAGGATTTAGCAGGGAGGAGAAGGTGGCAAAGAGCTTCCTAGGGTTAGAGGCAGATGCTTGGAATTTAGAGTGGTAGAAAGTGGCTTTAGCAGCAGAAACAGAGGAAGAAAATGTAGAGAGGAGGGAGTGAAAAGATGCCAGGTCCGCAGGGAGTCTAGTTTTCCTCCATTTCCGCTCGGCTGCCCGGAGCCCTGTTCTGTGAGCTCGCAATGAGTCGTCAAGCTACGGAGCAGAAGGGTAGGACCAAGCCGGCCGGGAGGATAGGGGACATAGAGAGTCAAAGGATGCAGAAAGGGAGGAGAGGAGAGTTGAGGAGGCAGAATCAGGAGTTTGGAGGGAGAAGGATTGAGCAGAGGGAAGAGATGATAGGATGGAAGAGGAGAGAGTAGCGGGAGAGAGAGAGCGAAGGTTGCGACGGCGCATTACCATCTGAGTAGGGGCCCGAGTGAGTAGTGTTGGAGGAGAGCGAAAGAGAAAAGGATACAAAGTAGTGGTCGGAGACTTGGAGGGGAGTTGCAGTGAGATTAGTAGAAGAACAGCATCTAGTAAAGATGAGGTCAAGCGTATTGCCTGCCTTGTGAGTAGGGGGGGACGGTGAGAGGGTGAGGTCAAAAGAGGAGAGGAGTGGAAAGAAGGAGGCAGAGAGAAATGAGTCAAAGGTAGACGTAGGGAGGTTAAAGTCACCCAGAACTGTGAGGGGTGAGCCATCCTCAGGAAAGGAACTTATCAAGGCGTCAAGCTCATTGATGAACTCTCCAAGGGAACCTGGAGGGCGATAAATTATAAGGATGTTAAGCTTGAATGGGCTAGTGACTGTGACATCATGGAATTCAAATGAGGAGATAGAAAGATGGGTCAGGGGAGAAGGAGAGAATGTCCACTTGGGAGAGATGAGGATTCCTGTGCCACCACCCCGCTGACCAGATGCTCTCGGGGTATGCGAGAACACATGGTCAGACAAGGAGAGAGCAGTAGGAGTAGCAGTATTTTCTGTGGTAATCCATGTTTCCGTCAGTGCCAAGAAGTCGAGGGACTGGAGGGTAGCATAGGCTGAGACGAACTCTGCCTTGTTGGCCGCAGAACGGCAGTTCCAGAGGCTGCCAGAGACCTGGAACTCCATGTGGGTCGTGCGTGCAGGGACCACCAGGTTAGAGTGGCAGCAGCCACGAGGTGTGAGGCGTTTGTATAGCCTGTGCGGAGAAGAGAGAACAGGGATAGACAGACGCATAGTTTACAGGCTACAGAAAATGGTTACAATAATGCAAAGGAGATCGGAATGAAATGAACTAAACATCTGGGAAAGCGAGAGAGCGGGGCCTCCCTCACTTACGTTTCACCGAAACACTCAAATATAACTCTCCCAACTTCCACTTTAGAAATTATAATTGTTGTAATCTACAGCGGTTCAATGTTTTCTAGGAATAGACTAACTTAGTTTATTCAGGAAGCTAACTTGGTACAGTATTCTTCCGTGAAAACCGTCCAGGGCACCGAATCCTATGACGCCATAGCCAACTAGCATGCCAGGCTCCAATAACACGGTTTAGCACCAGTACACAGTTACAACAAACCACCAGTGTGTTAACACGCCAAGCAGATCTTTCGTGTCCGTGTCTAACGTTGTGTAAAGTTTTGGGTTAGTTTTGACAGTTTGAGTTAGTCCGTCGTCAACTTATTCAGCCAGTTAGTTAGCTAGAATAGTTAGCATACTAGCTAGCCATTGCTCACTGCCAACGAAAAAAAACCCTCCTCCCATGGCACGAACATAGAGAGAGCCAAGCTAACGTTAACTAGTCACCCATGTCCCAAATTCCCTTGAACGACTCTGGTTACCAGTATGTAAAAACAAAACACAAATGTAGGTTATAACTTACCCTTAGTAGCTACTGTTAGCCAGTTAAGTGCAAAGCTAGCCACTGAATCGATTCAGCCAGTTCGCGTCTGTTCGCTAGGTCGTTCCAGCTATTGTCTAGTTAGCTATCCAGGTAGCAACAAGCTAGCTACATTTCGAGTACAGTAGCTACTGACTAACCTTAGTTAACCTCTGGGGGCTATTGGCCGTTTGAAAGGAAAATACCTTTTTCATTATGCATCTCTCTTTGACCGCCCCCCTCACTCCCCACCCTCTCCCCTCCCCTCGTTGTCCTTATCTTCATCCTAATGATATCCTTGAATAATATTGGACTATAATTAGATGCAGGCTTTCACTTCTCTTCACAAAGATTGAATGGTTATTGGTCTGAATAAATAACTGCTATAGACCGCCATCGTGCGTAGTCTAGCTTTTCCTGCATGGGACTCCAAGAGCTAAGGAGCGTTTTTTTAAGGAGGCCAGCACAGCAAAGCTGCTTACGTATTGCGCAAGAGACAGAGGCTATAAGTTAGAAGCTTATTATGTACAATCTATCATTAATTAGCTAAATACAGTGGGGAGAACAAGTATTTGATACACTGCCGATTTTGCAGGTTTTCCTACTTACAAAGCATGTAGAGGTCTGTAATTTTTATCATAGATACACTTCAACTGTGAGAGACGGAATCTAAAACAAAAATCCAGAAAATCACATTTTATGATTTTTAAGTAATTAATTTGCATTTTATTGCATGACATAAGTATTTGATACATCAGAAAAGCAGAACTTAATATTTGGTACAGAAACCTTTGTTTGCAATTACAGAGATCATACGTTTCCTGTAGGTCTTGACCAGGTTTGCACACACTGCAGCAGGGATTTTGGCCCACTCCTCCATACAGACCTTCTCCAGATCCTTCAGGTTTCGGGGCTGTCGCTGGGCAATACAGACTGAGGTAGGTTAGGACATCTATATAAAGGGCTATATATCAATCTAGAACAGGATTATCTATTTTGGATGCAATTTGAATGGAGTTGATGGAGAGAGAGAAAGACTGTGAGAGAGTGCTCACGCGTGCACTGATTTAAAGAAAAGCTATTCGAGTGATAGGCTGTTTTAAAACTCTGCAGCTGCAATAAAAATAAATCTTTACAATTAAAAAACAAGGTGACCCCGAAAGCCAGATGGAGATGGGTAAATTAGACGCGCATTTGGTCTTTATATTACTCTAGCATAGGCTATGCTGCAGCAAGTGTAGGCCTACCTGTCACAAGAAAAAAAGTTACCATGATGAGATGATGGTCTACATGCGTTTTTAACTGCTGCTCCATACTGAGATGGGCTGTCTGTCCCCACCCTGAGTGTTGATTCATCATGCAGAGGCCGTTGTGAAGCCAGATTTATAATTTAACAGTTCCATTTCACGTCATGCTGTTCATAAAAATTATTTGTTATAATTTACAGGTTTCTCGCAGTTATTTATCCCGGGAAAAGGTAGTGGTTCCCGGTAACCGGATTCCCGTCATTCAACCCTACTGGGAACATTGCTTGGCTGAAGAAAAACACACCTCCCTGTGGTCGTCAAAGGCGTCCTGAGAGGTCACACACAACACACCCCATAATGATAAGGCATGGTTTACGTTTCATGACAGAGAAGTAGTTACATGTTCCTTGGTGTCCACATCACCAACAAACTATCATGGTCCAAACACACCAAGACAGTCATGAAGAGGGCACGACAAAGCCTATTCCCCCTCAGGACACTGAAAAGATTTGGCATGAGTCCTCAGATCCTCAAAAAGTTATACAGCTGCACCATCGAGAGCATTCTGACTGGTTGCATCACTGCCCAGTGATGTTCCGCCCAGTATATCACTGGGGCCAAGCTTCCTGCCATCCATGACCTCTATACCAGGCAGTGTCAGAGGAAGGCCCTAAAAATTGTCAAAGACTCCAGCCACCCTAGTCATGGACTGTTCTCTCTGCTACCGCACGGCAGGCGGTAGCGGAGCGCCAAGTCTAGGTCCAAGAGGCTTCTTAACAGCTTCTACCCCCAAGCCATAAGACTCCTGAACAGCTAATCATGGCTACCAGGACTATTTGCATTGTCCCCCCACCCCACTCCCTCTTTTACGCTGCTGCTACTCTCTGTTTATTATCTATGCATACTCACTTTAACTCTACCCACATGTACATATTACCTCGACTAACCTGTGCCCCTACACATTGACTCTGTACCGGTACCCCATGTATATAGCCTCCCTACTGTTATTTCATTTTCATTCACTGCTGCTCTTTAATTATTTTTTACTTAACACTTATTTTTCTTAAAACTGCATTGTTGGTTAAGGGCTTGTAAGTAAGCATTTCACTGTAAGGTCTACACCTGTTGTATTCGGCGCATTTGGCAAATAAAATTTGATGTCTGTAGATCTATTCATCTTTCTATCCACCCTTCCTCCCTCCCCCCCAGCTGTGGATGCGTTAGAAGCACTTAACCATGATGTTGACGGTTTCCTGGTGTCTAACCACAGAGCCAGGCAGCTAGACGGGGTCCCAGCTATGGTGAGGGAACCCAACACACACACACTCTTCAGAAATGTTTCATTTTATAGCCTGTGACATGTGTTATGCGTCTGTGTGTAGCTGGATGTGGTGTCTGAAGTGGTGTCGGTGGTAGCAGGGTGGTGTGAGGTGTACGTGGACAGAGGGGTGAGGAGAGGGAGAGACGTCCTGAAGGCCTTAGCTCTGGGGGCTACCGCTGTCTTCCTTGGACGACCTGTACTCTGGGGGCTCGCCTGCCAGGTACAACTGTGTGTGTGTGTGTGTGCAGATGATGCCAATTGCAATGATCATATGTGGTTGTGTTACCCACTTCAGTTGAGTGTCTGCTAAATAACTAAAATGTCAAATGTGTGTGGGTGTTTGTAGGGGGAGCAGGGTGTCAGTTATGTTCTGGATCTCATGAGAGATGAGCTACACCTGGCGATGGACCTGCCAGGTAACCATGGTGACCACTATCCATAGCTAATTAACCTACTCTGGCCCTTTCCTCCTCATCTCCTTTCATTGCCTTCTTGTCTCTTAATTCTAGCCCTCTCCTCCAATCCTCCTCCTTTCATTTATCCAAGTATGTGTAACTGCATACATGGAGTGTCTGAAAGCGGGTGTTGCAAAAGTGGGTGGATCAACAGTGATGGGTGTAACATCAGCGCTCTGTTATTGGTTAGGCCGCCATAGCCCAGTGCGCCGCGGGTCAGCTTATTCTTAATAGCAGCCACGCGAAACAGTTGAGTGAAAACAAATCTGCCCAATTAGCTAATTCGCTTTCCATATACCAACTTCTGTTGATCCACCCTGTTTTTTTGCCATGGCCACTTTGACACACTCCACGTATGCAGTTACACATGACTGCATTTATCTGCACTGACTTGAGTTCAGAGGTGAGGGTTGAACCGTGTGTTTTGTCTGCAGGATGTCGTTCGCTGGAGGAGGGTAAAAGATCCCTTGTCAGAAGACCTGAATTCACCTCCAGGATCTGAAGAGTGAAGACGCGGAATTCACACACACACACACACACACAAATTGGGTTTCAAAGCACCAGCCATGTAACACCTGGATAAATTAGTGATTTAATCAATTAGTAATTGTAGTGATTCTCGCTGCTTTTCAACAGTTTACAAAACACTACGAATCTGATGTAATATACTGATGAAATAACCCTCATCACCTGGTATCATTTGAAGCCTCATTAAATCATGTTTCTTTCCAATATTACTGGTGTTGCGGTTTGACTAGCCTTGCACAGCCATACTTCCAAATCTTGTCTCACTGAAACCTGGACTTCCGAGGGTTTGACTAAACCTGTTGTATTGGAAAAGTCACTAAGCTAAGAGACAGAACTAATGGCAATACAAATATCAAGTCAATTTGATAATCAACAGCTGGTGACTTCAGTAGACCAGCAGATGTCACTAACACACAGCTTTGACACAGTAAACCTTTTTGGTACAATTGGTGGTAATGTTGAAAACCTTGGAAACGTCACCATCATACAGACACTTAAAATTCCCACCACACACACACACACACTTGCAGAATCCTGATCCTCTTTACAGACCATACTAGTAATCTAAACAAGTAGTTGACACATACAGCGAGAGGCTATCAGAGCAGGTTCATGGTTTAATCACATCATTCATCAGATACAAAACAGTTCCCATGGCAATACTGAGATTAAAAATACGCACTCAGAGTACATTTTGTATTCTTTCCAAACACAAGTGGGTGTGTGTTTGTTCATGATTGAGGCAAGAGTGTATTAAGTTGCAACCGTTACTTGGTGTTGCCATGGTTACTTGGTGCTGTTGAGCACAGCGACAGTCTTCATGCCGTAGTGATAGTAGCTGTAGCCTGACACAGTCGTCGTTACCGCTGTGATATACCTGCACAAACAAACACAGTATCCCAAAACATGCAGAACAAAAACAATGTACCATTTAGAGTTCCAGTGTGCAGTGTGTGTAGCCTGCAGAAACAGACTGCTTGTGGAGTGTGTCTTACCATAGGGCTTGCAGGAGCGGACTGTCTGTGTAGTGAAAGACGGGAGAAGCCAACGATGCTGCTACCAGAAAGAGCTGGATCGCTGTGTTCACCTGCATGCCCGCACACAACCCACACACACGATTAACCAACTAGACAAACGACTGGGGACTGTTGTATGACGTTTTGTGCATATATACACTACCGTTCTAAAGTTTGGGGTCACTTAGAAATGTCCTGTTTTCGAAAGAAAAGCAATTTTTTTGTCCATTAAAATAACATCAAATTGATCAGAAATACAGTGTAGACATTGTTAATGTTGTAAATGGCTATTGTAGCTGGAAACTGCTGATTTTTAATGGAATATTTAAATAGGCGTACAGAGGATCATTATCAGCAACCATCAGTCCTGTGTTCCAATGGCACGTTGTGTTTGCTAATCCAAGTTTATCATTTTAAAAGGCTAATTGATCATTAGAAAACCCTTTTGCAATTATGTTAGCACAGCTGAAAACAGTTGTGCTGATTAAAGAAGCAATAAAATAGTCCTTCTTGAGACTAGTTGAGTATCTGGAGCATCAGCAATTGTGGGTTTGATTACAGGCTCAAAATGGTCAGAAACAAATAACTTTATTAATTTTTATTTCACCTTTATTTAACCAGGTAAACCAGTTGAGAACAAGTTCATTTACAACTGAGGTAGTTGGGTGGGCTAATTTCAGATGGGCTGTGTACAGGTGCAGTGATCGGTAAGGTGCTCTGACAACTGATGCTTAAAGTTAGTGAGGGAGATAAGAGTCTCCAGCTTCAGAGATTTTTGCAGTTCGTTCCAGTCATTGGCAGCAGAGAACTGGAAGGAATGGCGGCCAAAGGAGGTGTTGGCTTTGGGGATGACCAGTGAGATATACCTGCTGGAGCGCATACTACGGGTGGGTGTTGCTATGGTGACCAATGAGCTAAAATAAGGCGGGGATTTGCCTAGCAGTGGTTTATAGATGACCTGGAGCCAGTTGATTTGCCTAGCAGTGATTTATAGATGACCTGGATGTAGTCTATCACAGCCAACAAGAGCGTACAGGTCACAGTGGTGGGTAGTATATGGGGCTTTGGTGACAAAACGGATGGCACTGTGATAGACTACATCCAATTTGCTGAGTAGAGTGTTGGAGGCTATTTTGTAAATGACATCGCTGAAGTCAACGATTGGTAGGATTCAGTTTAACGAGGGCACGTTTGGCAGCATGAGTGAAGGAGGCTTTGTTGCGAAATAGGAAGCCGATTCTAGATTTAACTTTGGATTGGAGATGCTTAATGTGAGTCTGGAAGGAGAGTTTACAGTCTAACCAGACACCTAGGTATTTGTAGTTGTCCACATACTCTAGGTCAGACCCACCGAGAGTAGTGATTCTAGTCGGGTGGGCGGGTGCCAGCAGCGTTCGATTGAAGAGCATGCATTTAGTTTTACTAGTGTTTAAGAGCAGTTGGAGGCTACAGAAGGAGTGTTGTATGGCATTGAAGCTCGTTTGGAGGTTTGTTAACACAGTGTCCAATGAAGGGCCAGATGTATACAAAATGGTGTCGTCTGCGTAGAGGTGGATCTGAGAGTCACCAGCAGCAAGAGCGACATCATTGATATACACAGAGAAAAGAGTCGGCCCGAGAATTTAACCCTGTGGCACCCCCATAGAGACTGCCAGAGGTCCAGACAACAGGTCCTCCGATTTGAATGAGATGGGCCTGACTCGAGGCTAGCTCAAGGCTGATTAGCCAACCACAACATCCATTAGGTTGCAGCTAGCTAGTTGCGATGATCCGGTGTTAAAGGTCCAGTGATTCAGTGATTCCGGCAGAAAATCCGATATGTTCTGGGTCGATAACACGCTGTTAGCTGGCTACTCCCGTCCGGTAGACAGAGAGGTAGATAGCCGGGATATGGGCCTGGCTCGAGGCTAGCTCAAGGCTAACTGGTGCTTGCTTCGGGGGCAGTGGTGATTAGCCAACAGCAACATCCATTCGGTTGCGGCTAGCTGGTTGCGATCCGGTGTTAAGGTCCAGTGATTCAGTTATTCCGGAAGAAAATCAGATGTTCTGGGTTAAAACCGCTAACGATGGCTAATAGCAAGTAGCTAGTTAACTGGCTAGCTAGTTTCAACTGGAGATTTTAGATAAAAGGTAAGTAAATAATAGAAGCCGTTCCACATTGAGTGAGGCGGGTTGCAGGAAAGTATATTTAGTAGAAGGATGAAAAGTGTGATAGGGGAAATATATACAACAAAAGACAAAAAATTGAAAAAACAGACTATTTACACGGACACACAACAGAGTACACGACCGCACTGCTACGGCATCTTGGAACTTTCTTCTGAAACTCATCAGTCTATTCTTGTTCTGAGAAATGAAGGCTATTCCATGCGAGAAATTGCCAAGAAACTGAAGATCTCGTACAACGCTGTGTACTACTCCCTTCACAGAACAGCGCAAACTGGCTCTAACCAGAATAGAAAGAGGAGTGGGAGGCCACGGTGCACAACTGAGCAAGATGACAAATACATTAGAGGTCCTCAACTGGCAGCTTCATTAAATAGTACCCGCAAAACACCAGTCTTAACGTCAACAGTGAAGAGGCGACTCCGGGATGCTGACCTTCCAGGCAGAGTTGCAAAGAAAAAGCCATATCTCAGACTGGCCAATAAAAATAAAAGATTAAGATGGGCAAAAGAACACAGACACTGGACAGAGGAAGATTGGAAAAAAGTGTTATGGTCAGACGAATCGAAGTTTGAGGTGTTCGGATCACAAAGAACAACATTTGTGAGACGCAGACCAAATTAAAAGATGCTGGAGGAGTGCTTGATGCCATCTGTCAAGCATGGTGGAGGCAATGTGATGGTCTGGGGTGCTTTGGTGGTGGTAAAGTGGGGGATTTGTACAGGGTAAAAGGGATCTTGAAGAATGAAGGCTATCACTCCATTTTGCAACGTCATGCCATACCCTGTGGACGGCGCTTGATTGGAGCCAATTTCCTCCTACAACAGGACAATGACCCAAAGCACAGCTCCAAACTCAATAACTATTTAGTGAAGGAGCAGTCAGCTGGTATTCTGTCTATAATGGAGTGGCCAGCACAGTCACCGGATCTCAACCCTATTGAGCTGTTGTGGGAGCAGCTTGACCGTATGGTACGTAAAAAGTGCCCATCAAGCCAATCCAACTTGTGGGAGGTGCTTCAGGAAGCATGGGGTGAAATCTCTTCAGATTACCTCAACAAATTGACAACTAGAATGCCAAAGGTCTGCAAGGCTGTAATTGCTGCAAATGGAGGATTCTTTGACGAAAGCAAAGTTTGAAGGACACAATTATTATTTCTATTAAAAATCATTATTTCTAACCTTGTCAATGACTACATTTCCTATTCATTTTGCTATATTTCCTATTCAAACTCATTTCATGTATGTTTTCATGGAAAACAAGGACATTTCTAAGTGACCCCAAACTTTTGAATGGTAGTGTGTGTGTATGTATGTATGTATGTATGTATGTATGTATGTATGTATGTATGTATGTATGTATACACACGCACACACAAACAAACACAACCAGTCAAAAGTTTGGACATACCTACTCATTCAAGGGTTTTTCTTTATTTTCACATTGTAGAATAATAGTGAAGACATCAAAACTATGAAATAACACATATGGAATCATGTAGTAACCAAACAAGTGTTAAACAAATCAAAATATATTTTATATTTGAGATTCTTCAAATAGCCACCCTTTGCCTTGATGACAGCTTTGCACACTCTTGGCATTCTCTCAACCAGCTTCATGAGGTAGTCCCCTGGAATGCATTTCAATTAACAGGTGTGCCTTCTTAAAAGTTAATTTGTGGAATTTCTTTCCTTCTTAATGCGTTTGAGCCAATCAGTTGTGTTGTGACAAGCTGGGGGGGGGGGGGGGGGGGAATATACAGAAGATAGCCCTATTTGGTAAAAGACTAAGTCCATATTATGGAAAGAACAGCTCAAATAAGCAAAGAGAAATGACAGTCCATCATTACTTTAAGACATGAAGGTCAGTCAATACGGAAAAGTTCAAGAACTTTGAAAGTTTCTTCAAGTGCAGTCGCAAAAACCATCAAGTGCTATGATGAAATTGGCTCTCATGAGGACCGCCACAGGAATGGAAGACCCAGAGTTAACTCTGCTGCAGAGGATAAGTTCATTAGAGTTACCAGCCTCAGAAACTGCAGCCCAAATAAATGCTTTACAGAGTTCAAGTCACAGACACATCTCAACATCAACTGTTCAGAGGGGACTGTGTGAGTCAGGCCTTCTAAAGGACACCAATAAGAAAAAGAGACCTGCTTGGGTCAAGAAACATGAGCAATGGACATTAGACCGGTGAAATTTGTCCTTTGGTCTGGAGTCCAAATTGGAGATTTTTGGTTTTAACTGCTGTGTCTTTGTGAAACGCGGTGTGGGTGAACGGATGATCTCCGCATGTGTAGTTCCCACCATAAAGCATGGAGGAGGTGGTGTTATGGTGTGGGGGTGCTTTGCTTGTGACACTGTCTGTGATTCATTTAGAATTCAAGGCACACTTAACCAGCATGGCTAACACAGCATTCTGCAGCAATTCGCCATCCAATCTGGTTTGGGCTTAGTGGGACTATCATTTGTTTTTCAACAGGACAATGACCCAACACACCTCCAGGCTGTGTAAGGGCTATTTGACCAAGGAGAGTGATGAGTGCTGCATCAGATAACCTGGCCTCCACAATCCCCCGACCTCAACCCAATTGAGATGGTTTGGGATGAGTCGGACCACAGAGTGAAGGAAAAGCAGCCAACAAGTGCTCAGCATTTGTGGGAACTCCTTCAAGACTGTTGTAAAATAATTCCAGGTGAAGCTGGTTGAGAGAATGCCAAGAGTGTGCAAAGCTGTCATCAAGGCAAAGGGTGGCTACTTGAAGAATTTGTTTAACACTTTTTTGGCTACTATAATATAATAATAATATAATATGCCATTTAGCAGACGCTTTTATCCAAAGCGACTTACAGTCATGCGTGCATACATTTTTGTGTATGGGTGGTCCCGGGGATCGAACCCACTACCTTGGCGTTACAAGCGCCGTGCTCTACCAGCTGAGCTACAGAGGACCACACTACACGATTCCATAAGTGTTATTTCATAGTTTTGATGTCTTCACTATTATTCTACAATGTAGAAAATAGTAAAAATAAAGAACAAGCCTTGAATGAGTAGGTGTGTCCAAACTTTTGACTGGTATTGTTTGTTTGTATATATATATATATATATGTATGTATGTATGTATGTATGTATATATATACACATACAGTATCTCACAAAAGTGAGTACACCCCTCACATTTTTGTAAATATTTGAGTATATCTTTTCATGTGTCAACACTGAAGAAATGACACTTCGCTACAATGTAAAGTAGTGAGTGTACAGATTGTATAACAGTGTAAATTTGCTGTCCCCTCAAAATAACTTAACACACAGCCATTAATGTCTAAACCGCTGGCAACAAATGTGAGTACACCCCTAAGTGAAAATGTCCAAATTGGGCCCAAAGTGTCAATATTTTGTGTGGCCACATTCATTTTCCAGCACTGCCTTAACCCACTTGGGCATGGAGTTCACCAGAGCTTCACAGGTTGCCACTGGAGTCCTCTTCCACGCCTCTATGACGACATCACAGAGCTGGTGGATGTTAGAGACCTTGCACTCCTCCACCTTCCGTTTGAGGATGCCCCACAGATGCTCAATAGGGTTTAGGTCTGGAGACATGCTTGGCCAGTCCATCACCTTTACCCTCAGCTTCTTTAGCAAGGCAGTGGTCGTCTTGGAGGTGTGTTTGGGGTCGTTATCATGTTGGAATACTGCCCTGTGGCCCAGTCTCCGAAGGGAGGGGATCATGCTCTGCTTCAGTATGTCACAGTACATGTTGGCATTCATGGTTCCCTCGATGAACTGTAGCTCCCTAGTGCCGGCAGCACTCATGCAGCCCCATACCATGACACTCCCACCACCATGCTTGACTGTAGGCAAGACACACTTGTCTTTGTACTCCTTACCTGGTTGCCGCCACACACGCTTGACACCATCTGAACCAAATAAGTTTATCTTGGTCTCATCAGACCACAGGACATGGTTCCAGTAATCGATGTCCTTAGTCTGCTTGTCTTCAGCAAACTGTTTGCGGGCTTTCTTGTGCATCATCTTTAGAAGAGGCTTCCCTTCTGGGACGACAGCCATGCAGACCAATTTGATGCAGTGTGCGGCGTATGGTCTGAGCACTGACAGGCTGACCCCCCACCTCTTCAACCTCTGCAGCAATGCTGGCAGCACTCATGTCTATTTCCCAAAGACAACCTCTAGATATAACGCTGAGCACATGCACTCAACTTCTTTGGTCGACCATGGCGAGGCCTGTTCTGAGTGGAACCTGTCCTGTTAAACCGCTGTATGGTCTTGGCCACCGTGCTGCAGCTCAGTTTCAGGGTCTTGGCAATCTTCTTACAGCCCAGGCCATCTTTATGTAGAGCAACAATTCTTTTTTTCAGATCCTCAGAGAGTTCTTTGCCATGAGGTGCCATGTTGAACTTCCAGTGACCAGTATGAGGGAGTGTGAGAGGAATGACACCAAATTTAACACACCTGCTCCCCATTCACACCTGAGACCTTGTAACACTAACGAGTCACATGACACCGGGGAGGGAATATGGCTATTGGGCCCAATTTGGACATTTTCACTTAGGGGTGTACTCACATTTGTTGCCAGCGGTTTAGACATTAATGGCTGTGTGTTGAGTTATTTTGAGGGGACAGCAAATGTACACTGTTATACAAGCTGTACACTCACTACTTTACATTGTAGCAAAGTGTCATTTCTTCAGTGTTGTCACATGAAAAGATATACTCAAATATTTACAAAAATGTGAGGGGTGTACTCACTTTTGTGAGATACTGCATATATATATATATATATATATATATATATATATATATATATATATATATATATATATATATATACATACACATACAGTCAGTGGGGAGAACAAGTATTTGATAACCTGCAAAATCGGCAGTGTTTCCTACTTACAAAGCATGTAGAGGTCTGTAATTTTTATCATAGGTACACTTCAACTGTGAGAGACGGAATCTAAAACAAAAATCCAGAAAATCACATTGTATGATTTTTAAGTAATTCACTTGCATTTTATTGCATGACATAAGTATTTGATCACCTACCAACCCGTAAGAATTCCGGCTCTCACAGACCTGTTAGTTTTTCTTTAAGAAGCCCTCCTGTTCTCCACTCATTACCTGTATTAACTGCACCTGTTTGAACTCGTTACCTGTATAAAAGACACCTGTCCACACACTCAATCAAACAGACTCCAACCTGTCCACAATGGCCAAGACCAGAGAGCTGTGTAAGGACATCAGGGATAAAATTGTAGACCTGCACAAGGCTGGGATGGGCTACAGGACAATAGGCAAGCAGCTTGGTGAGAAGGCAACAACCGCAATTATTAGAAAATGGAAGAAGTTCAAGATGACGGTCAATCACCCTCGGTCTGGGGCTCCATGCAAGATCTCACCTCGCGGGGCATCAATGATCATACTTATGTCATGCAATAAAATGCAAATGAATTATTTAAAAATCATACAATGTGATTTTCTGGATTTTTGTTTTAGATTCCGTCTCTCACAGTTGAAGTGTACCTATGATAAAAATTACAGACCTCTACATGTTTTGTAAGTAGGAAAACCTGCAAAATCGGCAGTGTATCAAATACTTGTTCTCCCCACTGTATATATATACAGTGAGGGGAAAAAAGTATTTGATCCCCTGCTGATTTTGTACGTTTGCCCACTGACAAAGGAATGATCAGTCTATAATTTGAATGGTAGCTTTATACACACACATATACACACACATATATATATATATATATATATATATATATATACACACACACACACACACACACATATACAGTTGAAGTCAGAAGTTTACATACATTTAGGTTGGAGTCATTAAAACTATTTTTTCAACCACTCGACAGATTTCTTGTTAACAAACTATAGTTTTGTCAAGTCGGGTAGGACATCTACTTTGTGCATGACAAGTAATTTTTCCAACAATTGTTTACAGACATATTATTTCACTTATAATTCACTGTATCACAATTCCAGTGGGTCAGAAGTTTACATACACTAAGTTGACTGTGCCTTTAAAAAGCTAGGAAAATTCCAGAAAATGATGTCATGGCTTTAGAAGCTTCTGATAGGCTAATTGACATAATTTGAGTCAATTGGAGGTGTACCTGTGGATGTATTTCAAGGCCTACCTTCAAACTCAGTGCCTCTTTGCTTGACATCATCGGAAAATCAAAAGAAATCAGCCAATACCTCAGAAAAAAAATGGTAGACCTCCACAAGTCTGGTTCATCCTTGGGAGCAATTTCCAAACGCCTGAAGGTACCACATTCATCTGTACAAACAATAGTACGCAAGTATAAACACCATGGGACCACGCAGCCGTCATACCGCTCAAGAAGGAGATGCGTTCTGTCTCCTAGAGATGAACGTACTTTGGTGCGAAAAGTGCAAATCAATCCCAGAACAACAGCAAAGGACCTTGTGAAGATGCTGGAGGAAACAAGTACAAAAGTATTATGGATGATTTTCTAGTACATATGTTGTAGAATGAAACGCCTATATGCCTTAAATGTTTATGGATTAAGAACCAATTAAAGGGTTAAAACACAGCAGGGACATTTCTTTAGTGCAAATGCTGTGCTTCTGATAAGAATGGTTCCTTAACTCCCTGCAGCTGGTCTGGGTATGTCAATGACATGTGATGGCGATACAACTTCTCGTTGTAGCTGTGTGGAGATTGGAGTAACAATGGAACTAGTGTTATCACTTGTTTGTGCTTATGACCTGACACACATAGCCACATGCACATAGTCACAAGGAAAAACCATAGTGGCTCAGGATCCTTGGAGGATGGCTGTTTGGAAAGGCTTAAATGTATGTTATGGACATGACGTGTAAACCATGTTTAAGTATGAATTGATATGTTTTATAATGTGTTATGAAATGATAAGGGTAAAACCGAATGAACATGATTGATACTTTGTACTCCAGATGCATGCCTGGATAGTGAATATAGTCAATACAGAGTGTGATTGTCCTTTAACGTAGGTATGTATGTTATTTTCTGAGAGCGTGTCCGAGTCACGGCACCAATATAATGAGATGAGACACAGAGGCCCCATTTAGAGAAACGCACGTAGCCTTCGCGAGAAAACAACATGTGACACCGAAGGATGTTAATCATGTACATATAATGGAGTAACTGTGTAGGTTGTATAAGCATGACTATGCATGTGTCTGTATAAAAGGAGAGCTCCGAATCAGGGAAAACAGATGTTCTGCTGATCATCTCGGCTTTCGTTGCTTTGTGTAATAAAAGTATATTTTCATTCTACAAAAACTCTGGAAGAACTTTTGATTTTTAACAAGTATAGTGATACTTATCCACGACATATTGGCGAGCCAGCCAGGAGTGGAAGGGATCATTGAGTACTTCGCCATCAGAGAAAGTTTGGACAAATCACACACAAAATTCAGTGGCCACTGTTAATACAGGTAAGCAACGTTCTTACTTTTAAAACATAGAAATTATGTGATTCGATCAAGCTGAATCTGAGGGTAAGGTACAGAAGGGGTCTCTCCAGCATTAAGGACTACATTTAGGAAAAGTACAGAGGTTTTTTTGGAATGAGAATTAAGCATGCATGCAATGTTGTTGATAATTGAGGTTTAAAAATCCTGCGGATACAGCCCAGGGGATACAATACACAGGGAACTTAGTTGTAAAATACTTTCATTTTGGCAAGAGAGGCTGCTCATCGTAACCGGTGTGTGTGAGTGTGTGTCCTGATCAGAAGGGGATCAGAAGGAGTGTGTGTGTCCTGATTAGAAGGGAATCAGAAGGTGTGTGTGTGTCCTGATTAGAAGGGAATCAGAAGGTGTGTGTGACGTTACCAGGAGGGGTATGAGAAATCCTGTTGGAGGAACAGGTCACGTGTACGGGTGTGATCATATGACGTATACACATTGTATTTCGGCCAATCTTTTAGGGTATCATTACATTTAGGAAATGTATTAGTAATGTAGGATTATGGTCAAATTGACCATAGTAAAATGTCAAATTCTAAAACTAGCCGCCGAAATTGTCGCAACCCCTATTACTAGTCTGTTCAACCTCTCTTTCATAACGTCTGAGATCCCCAGAGATTGGAAAGCTGCCGCGGTCATCCCCCTCTTCAAAGGGGGTGACACTCTAGATCCAAACTGCTACAGACCTATATCCATCCTGCCCTGCCTTTCGAAAGTATTTGAAAGCCAAGTTAACAAACAGATCACCGACCATTTCGAATACCACCGTACCTTCTCCGCTATGCAATCCGGTTTCCGAGCTGGTCACGGGTGCACTTCAGCCACGCTCAAGGTCCTAAACGATATTATAACCGCGATTGATAATAGACAGTACTGTGCAGCCGTCTTCATCGACCTGGCCAAGGCTTTCGACTCTGTCAACCACCGCATTCTTATTGGCAGACTAAATAGCCTTGGTTTCTCAAATGACTGCCTCGCCTGGTTCACCAACTACTTCTCAGATAGAGTTCAGTGTGTCAAATCGGAGGGCCTGTTGTCTGGACCTATGGCAGTCTCTATGGGGGTGCCACAGGGTTCAATTCTTGGGCCGACACTTTTCTCCGTGTATATCAATGATGTCGCTCTTGCTGCTGGTGACTCTCAGATCCACCTCTACGCAGACGACACCATTTTGTATACATCTGGCCCTTCATTGGACACTGTGTTAACAAACCTCCAAACGAGCTTCAATGCCATACAACAATCCTTCAGTAGCCTCCAACTGCTCTTAAACACTAGTAAAACTAAATGCATGCTTTTCAATCGAACGCTGCTGGCACCCGCCCACCCGACTAGAATCACCACTCTCGACGGGTCTGACCTAGAGTATGTGGATAACTACAAATACCTAGGTGTCTGGTTAGACTGTAAACTCAACTTCCAGACTCACATAAAGAATCTCCAATCCAAAGTTAAATCTAGAATCGGCTTCCTATTTCGCAACAAAGCCTCCTTCACTCATGCTGCCAAACATGCCCTCGTAAAACTGACTATCCTACCGATCCTTGACTTCGGCGATGTCATTTACAAAATAGCCTCCAACACTCTACTCAGCAAATTGGATGTAGTCTATCACAGTGCCATCCGTTTTGTCTCCAAAGCCCCATACACTACCCACCACTGTGACCTGTACGCTCTTGTTGGCTGGTCCTCACTACATGTTCGTCGTCAAACCCACTGGCTCCAGGCCATCTATAAATCACTGCTAGGCAAATCCCCGCCTTATCTTAGCTCATTGGTCACCATAGCAGCACCCACCCGTAGTCTGCGCTCCAGCAGGTATATCTCACTGGTCATTCCCAAAGCCAACACCTCCTTTGGCCGCCATTCCTTCCAGTTCTCTGCTGCCAATGACTGGAACGAATTGCAAAAATCTCTGAAGCTGGAGACTCTTATCTCCCTCACTAACTTTAAGCATCAGTTGTCAGAGCACCTTACCGATCACTGCACCTGTACACAGCCCATCTGAAATTAGCCCACCCAACTACCTCATCCCCATATTGTTATTTATTTTGCTCTTTTGCACCCCAGTATCTCTATTTGCACATAATCTCTTGCACATCTAGCATTCCAGTGTTAATACTATTGTAATTATTCTGCACTATAGCCTATTTATTGCCTTACCTCCATAACTTGCTACATTTGCACACACTGTATATATATTTTCTGTTGTATTTTTGACTTTATGTTTTTTACCCCATATGTAACTCTGTGTTGTTTTTATTGCACTACTTTGCTTTATCTTGGCCAGGTCGCAGTTGTAAATGAGAACCTGTTCTCAACTGGCTTACCTGGTTAAATAAAGGTGAAATAAAAATAAATAAATAAATGTGATAGGGTTAACATTCCAAATTTGGGCCCTTTGATAGAATAAAATATTTATTTATACAAATAGAGGTTAAGCGCATTTGAGAACAACATTGTGTGAATATGGAACAAGAGTGGTATAATGGTATAAATGAGTCACACTCTGAAGTTTGAATGATGAGGTATAGAGGTGTGTATGATGATTTTATAGAAATTTGGATAATAAGCTTTTGATATAATCCATTTGATTAAACTCGTCAGATCTGGTTTCAAAATCAATGAATGTAGATTTGACTCGTTGACTGCTAATTCATTCCCTTCGAGCTTGTGAGATATTTTCTGATAAATTGTGTTATGTGCAAGATGTTAAAATTACAGACCATTATAATTGGAATAAAGGAGGATTTACCTGTCATTTCAATAAAGCATAGGTTCTACATGACTGACTAAAATCTAGGTTTTCTGATTATAGTTCAACTATGGTTATGGGTTGCTTAGATTGATAGAACAGTCAGTGTTGATTTTGTGATGTAAGACTGGGATTTAGCAGCTTGCGTCTTTCGAATTGAAAGACTCACTTATTCAACAGGAATAGTGGGACGAGTTCAAGAGTAATTTTTTGTGTGGTCTAATGATTTGGGAGTTTAAACTACTGTGAATGGGATTGTAATTTGGAATATTGAATTGAATATGGATATGAATTGAATGTATGCTTGTCAATCATAGCAAGTGTTTGTTTTATTAACTATAGCCTAATCAGAAAGGACATAAATGTAACAGAGGACTGGCAATTATAATAGAGCTGTGGCAATTATTTGAATTGATAACAGAGGAAAGTGATTTAATAGGGAAGTGAGAATTTCAAATTTGAATTGTTAAGGTAGACTGGAATGAAATTAATGTATTTTAATAATATGAATGCAAATATACTATTAGTTATTGGTGGTTTGTGAATAGACTTTACTAATGCCATGTTTTAGTTTACGGGTAAAAGAGAGTTGTACTTGCTGGACTGTATCGAGCTGTAAGAGACATTTTAAGCAGAAGTCTGAATAGTTGAATGGAAAACATTTATTTGACAAATTCTAATTGTTATTACTTTATTCTATAGTTTGCGTAACACCAGGGACGTATGCAAATAGTTAATGAATTCTAAAACGATAATTTGTTTTCGTTACGTGAACCAGTGGATTGCAAGTAGCTTTAACTATTATGCTGATGGGATAGCACCAACTTATTGTGGGTTCTAGATTTGTTAAACAACAAATTTATATTTTAACTAAATTAATGCAATAGGCTACAATTATAACATTATCAGAAAAGGGCAATAGCTAATGCGAAAGAGCTATTACCTATGTCATTGATCCAGTAATGATACCTGGATAATAGTAATAATAGAAATCTAGGTAGGATAATTTAGGATAGGGACTAGCTGTCCAGATATAAACAAGTAAAAGAGAAAGCTAAAAACCAAGATTAGGGAATAAATGCCGAGACGAAGATTAGAGAGAACAGATACAAAAATTCAGATACGGGAAAAATGGAGTATGTCAATACAACTGGAGGGTTTTTGAAAAGTAGAGTAATGAGGATATTGATCGGGGAAAATAGGGTGTGGTCTAGTGACCCGAGGCTGAACAAACCACTGGGAATATACCTAATCACAAGAAAGCGAGAGAGGATTTATAAATTTGATGTAACTTACAGGAAAGTAATGATAAAGATAAATAAAATAAAATAATATTAAAAGGAGGGGCACAAGGGATAAACACATTTTTGGAAAGAAGCAGAGTATGAAGATATACTAGGAAGAAGGATACCATTGATTGAGGAATATAAAAACTTTTAGCTGAGAAAGCTAACAGAAATAATTTACTTTGCATCCTAATATAAACACTGAACCAAACATAAGATTAGCAACAGGAAGGCCAAGAATACAAGGAGTAGGGATGGCAGGAACATCAGTAGAAATCATGAAGAGAAAGTTCCCAGAGAATAAGGAAGAGATTGGAAAAATCTCTGATAAATGGGAAAAAAGAACCAGAAAAATAGCAACAACATGGCCAAAGGAGGGAGCGTTTGATGTAGCGGTGTGTGAGGACATGGATACCCTAATAAAGAACTATAAAACAGGAGAGAGAGGGGAGAAAATAAAGAAGAGAGAGAAAGAGAGAAATCTTGAAAATATTTTGGGAGGAAGGAAAGAGTTGGAGGGACAGCATAGCCAAAGCTAGAAGGATAATAATGGAGAGGAAGAGTGAACCAAAAAAGGCTGGTTTAACTACACCACCACCATACACAGAAGGGGGCAGTGTTCTCAGGTCACAGGTCTAGTCTCAATAACAGGGAATGTAGAGCTAGAAGGAGAAAAAGGGAAGCAACAGCCTTCCACACCAAAGAAAGGAAAATAATCACATTTAGATATAGACTGTTATGGAGGACTGAAGAGTATGTTAAACAAATTGGAAAATTATGGGATAGATGGACAAGATGTTGATGGACAGAGCAAGTGGGATGATGAAAGTAATGAGGAACTAAAACAGTGTGCTGACTCTGAGCAAGAACAGAGTGAGACAGAGGGACAATTATCACACCAAGGAACCACAGGAGGCAAATCTATAGTAACAGAACTAGGTGAAGCACTGCAAGCCCACCTGGAAAAATCAAAGAGAAAATTAAGAAACAGAAGAACAACAACAAAAAACAGATAAATAAGGAGCCCAGTATCCTATTTTGGTAAAGGGGCCACGGGTTCACTATGTGCCCTGGGGATCGCAGGACCTGGAAGGCCTGGTGACTAGACTGCCTAACCTGCATGAAGGAGCAGGGAAATGGATTAGAACATATGAAGAACAAACAATGGGGAAGCTACTGGCAGTGGGAGACTTGAAGGCATTGCTGGCCAGGGTGGTGGGAGTGGCCAAAATGGAGGACCTGTTGCAGGCGGCTGGCCTTATACAGGCGGAGCAGAGGACGTTACTGGATGGAGTGGCCTTTGACAGTTATAGGCCAGGACTATGGCACACTCTGAGAATGGAGTATCCAGCCAAGATAGACCTTAAGGCACTGAGAGGGGAGCCATTGGGGGATAAAGAAAACCCGGCAGGTTACCTGAAGGACCAGCTCAAAAGGTGGCGACAAGAAACAGAAAAAGATCCAGAGGGTGATCCACTAATGACAACACTGTTCAGGACATCATTGATGGAAGCAATGCCAACGCCTGTCAGAAGCAAACTGGAAGATGAGGGGATTGGACTAACATCAAAGTCATACAAAGAGTTCTGTGACCATGTTATTCATGCAGTGGAAAAATACAGGAAGGACAAACAGAAACGGACAGTGCAGGGGAGAGATATTCAGAGAAAACTGACACGGATGCAGCTGGAAGAGCTGACAAGAAAGGACAAAAATAAAACACAAGCTCCAGTGATCGCTCCAGCGCCACCGGAAGAGGGCACCATGGCACCTGTCATATAGGGAGGTCAACAACCACCGCCTCAACCACAAGGCCTAAGAGCTCCTGCCTTACCAGTAGTGAATGTGTACACATTACAATCCCCTAGACAGTGGCAAAACAAAAATTATAAAAAGGAATCAATGGTACCGACCACAGCAGCAGACACACCAAAATGGTGGACCAAGAAGACCAGGTGTATGCTGGAGGTGCAATCAATCAGGACATACAAGAAGGAATTGTCCTACCAAGCCGTGGTGGCCTAGGCAACCACAACAGGGTAATTGGCAAGGAAATGGGCCCAGCTTAGCTGAATGGCAGCAGTCTCAGACACAGGCTCCACAAGGCCCAGTGAACCCGTGGGGAGGACCAAATCATTGATACTAGGGATGCCCAGGTAATCCTAAAGGGGAGGGTCAGCTAGTGGCAGTAACTATGCAGGCTGATGAAGAACCGATGCTGCAGGTTCAGGTGAATAATAGAGGCACACCAATGATGATAGATACTGGAGCAACTTACTCATGTGTAAGTCCAAATTATGCCTCTCACCTCCCCATATCAGGCAAATATGCACAGACAGTAGAATTTATGACAAATGCAGTTAATAGATATGACAGTTCCAGTAAAACCAGAAGCACGAAAATTCTACATTTATACCTATATTAGTATCAGAACAAACTTCAGTTAATCTAGTAGGAAGAGATGCACTGTGTAGAATGGGGGTCCAGATTAAATGCACATCAGAGGGACTAATAATAGTTCAGGAAGGGGTATGTCCACAGATGATCATGGCTACAGACAAAACAGCAAATGTATACTGGATAGGGAGCATAGAATCACCAATACAAGAGGTATTAAAAGAAGTGGGGAACATTTATCAGGGCTAAAGTTCAAGAAATGAGAGTACCAAAATCAGGCTCTCATTGTACACTGCAATATGATTCATATCAAAATAATTTGCTAGAACAACTATGGTTAAGGAAGGCATGAGGTAAACTAGCTTCCATGAGATCGCAATATTTTATAATAGGAAAACAAGGGTCACCAATGGAAGCACAAGATGCTCTAGGATCTGATATCATACAGATCTGGTTCATAACACTTTTAGTGGCCAAGGGATAACAGCCAATGTTGTTGTTTACTTTTTTGAACACATGAATCACGATGTGAATCATGTGTCCAAAGGGGGGAGTACTGGTTAAAACAGAGTGACTGTAACAGGCCACCAGTACTAAAGGCAGACAAACAGAAGTGGAGATTGGTTCATGACCTGAGAGCAGTAAATTAAGTAGTTCAGGATAAAGCAGAAGGTGCCTAATCCACACACACTGTTAACAAATGTTCCACCAGAGGCAAAATGGTTCTCAGTAATAGACTAATGTGGAGCATTTTTTAGTGTACCCTTGGCATGAGAAAGTAGACATTTGTTTGCATTTAATTACAAAGGACAGCTGTTTATGGAGTACAGTGGAATTATTGTCATGTTTGTTTATAGTTAAAACGTTTGGGTGGCTAATTAAGATGTACTATAGTAAATGTTAACGAAATGTACATTTTCTGTTCCAGGAGAATGGGAGTTCCAATATTTCTCTTTGGAATGTTTCCTGAGACTGTGAGCTGAGGAGAGCAGTTAGTAAAACTCAGCAATCTTGTAATTAGGCCGTAAGAGGGAGCTACCAAATTAAATAAGGCCTATCCATTTGTTTGGTTTTGCCCTACGTTTCACCAGCACACACGACCCACCTATTATTAATATTTGTAGTTGGGTAGGGTTTTATTTTTGGTTTCATAGGGTAGAAATAATACACCTTAAAGGGCACATAAAGTACATTTTTGGTAGTTTCTATTGCCAGAGTTTTAAGTACACACATGTAAATTCTCCTGATAAGAAATGTACTGAAAAAACCCAATGTAAACTTGGTACGCAAAATGTTTGAAATGTTTAAAATATATTTAAATAATATCTTAGATAAAGGGGAAGGAAATGGAAAGAGACATTCACTTACATGGGGTTGAATGACCTCTGGCCTTTGTTCTGACTTTCTGATGGGGCCTGATCACCCTCCCTAGAAAGCTAGAGACATTGTGTGAGATTTATATGTAGTGTGAAAACACTAATAATTAGGAAGAAGCTTATAATTTAGCAATAGGCCTATGTATGATTCATACCATAACAAGGACAGAGAAAGATAACTAGCCCTGAATGAGGGACACCTGTCGCTAATACATTTTACTATTCCTTGAATGACCTGTTATCAAGGGTTATTATTCTAATTTGATTTGGTGTTTTGTTTTTTGGGGCCTTACCTCTGGCACTAATGAGTTATCGCATGCAAGCTAACAGAAATACGCATCTAACACCGCATGAAATGCTAACAGGTTGACATGCCTGTGCTGGTGCTTAGGGGACCATATTAGGGTCCACCTCTAGAGCACATGGAAAGGGAATTGGAAGGGTATATCAGGCAACTAACTGTCATATATGAAGTTATATACCAACAGGAGAGAAGCAGAGTTCTAAAACCAGAGGCAAATCTACCATGACCAGTGGTCCCGGGGGAGAAGGTCTACGTCAGGGTCTTCAGAAGGAAGTAGAACGAACAGAGACATGTGGTACCCTACGCCTTCATCCAGGTTACCTGGACCTGGTATCATCTAAACCGACGACCAAGAGATGAGGAAGTTGAGGATGCCGAGACCCTAGTGACGGAAGAAAGTCCTGAGCGAAAAGGACCAACGCCAGCCCGGAGTAGAGGCCCAGAAGCAGATGGTCATTATCAGAACATTGAGGACCACTTGACTGCCCTTATGGCAACCTAGATTGTCTATATGGGGTAGTGGCAGGGGGTGTATGGGCCTGTCATGGTTACAAAGCTCAACAGCAACAATTGGAGGTTAGCTTAGAGGGAAACCTTCCGGATTTGTACCCAGTACCTGACTGGGCTCCTTGTCCTCATCGTGATGGGTCAGACAATGAGGAAGATACATTGGTCTGAATATATATTCTTATAAAATGAAATCACAAATGGCAAGGCTAAGAATAAGTATATGCACATGCTTACACTCATTATATGTTAACTTTTGTTTTATTGGTTGGGACATAGAAAGTCCCAAAAGGGGTATATATGGATGATTTTCTAGTACATATGTTGTAGAATGAAATGCCTATATGCCTTAAAATGTTTATGGATTAAGAACCAATTAAAGGGTTAAAACAGAGCAGGGACATTTCTATGTAAACTTCCGACTACAACTGTATGTGTGTGTGTGTGTGTGTGTGTGTGTGTGTGTGTGTGTGTGTGTGTATGTGTATATATATATATATATATATATATATATATATATATATATATATATATATATATATATATATATAAATAATATATATACACACACACACACACAGTTGAAGTCGGAAGTTTACATACACCTTAGCCAAATACATTTAAACTCAGTTTCACAATTCCTGACATTTAATCCTAGTAAAAATACCCTGTCTTAGGTCAGTTAGGATCACCACTTTATTTTAAGAATGTGATTTGTCAGAATAATAGTAGAGAGAATTATTTATTTCAGCTTTTATTTCTTTCATCACATTCCCAGTGGGTCAGAAGTTTACATACACTCAATTAGTATTTGGTAGCATTGCCTTTAAATTGTTTAACTTGGGTCAAACGTTTCAGGTAGCCTTCCACTAGCTTCCCACAATAAGTTGGGTGAATTTTGCCCCATTCTTCCTGACAGAGCTGGTGTAACTGAGTCAGGTTTGTAGGCCTCCTTGCTCGCACACACTTTTTCAGTTCTGCCCACACATTTTCTATAGGATAGAGGTCAGGGCTTTGTGATGGCCACTCCAATACCTTGACTTTGTTGTCCTTAAGCCATTTTGCCACAACTTTCGAAGTATGCTTGGGGTCATTGTCCATTTGGAAGACCCATTTGCGACCAAGCTTTAACTTCCTGACTGATGTCTTGAGATGTTGCTTCAATATATCCATATCATTTTCCTTCCTCATGATGCCATCTATTTTGTGAAGTGCAACAGTCCCTCCTGCAGCAAAGCACCCCCACAGCATGATGCTGCCACCCCCGTGCTTCACGGTTGGGATGGTGTTCTTCGGCTTGCAAGCGTCCCCCTTTTTCCTCCAAATATAACGATGGTCATTATGGCCAAACAGTTCTATTTTTGTTTCATCAGACCTAAAGACATTTTACCAAAAAGTACGATCTTTGTCCCCATGTGCATTTTCAAACCGTAGTCTGGCTTTTTTATGGCGGTTTTGGAGCAGTGGCATCTTACTTGCTGAGCGGTCTTTCAGGTTATGTTGATATACAGTGAGGGAAAAAGGTATTTGATCCCCTGCTGCTTTGTACGTTTGCCCACTGACAAAGAAATGATTAGTCTATCATTTTTATGGTAGGTTTATTTGAACAGTGAGAGACAGAATAACAACAAAAAAATCCAGAAAAATGCATGTCAAAAATGTTATAAATTGATTTGCATTTTAATGAGGGAAATAAGTATTTGACCCCCTCTCAATCAGAAAGATTTCTGGCGCCCAGGTGTCTTTTATACAGGTAACGAGCTGAGATGAGGAGCACACTCTTAAAGGGAGTGCTCCTAATCTCAGCTTGTTACCTGTATAAAAGACACCTGTCCACAGAAGCAATCAATCAATCAGATTCAAAACTCTCCACCATGGCCAAGACCAAAGAGCTCTCCAAGGATGTCAGGGACAAGATTGTAGACCTACACAAGGCTGGAATGGGCTACAAGACCATCGCCAAGCAGCTTGGTGAGAAGGTGACAACAGTTGGTGCGATTATTCGCAAATGGAAGAAACACAAAATACCTGTCAATCTCCCTCGGTCTGGGGCTCCATGCAATATCTCACCTCGTGGAGTTGCAATGATCATGAGAACAGTGAGGAATCAGCCCAGAACTACACGGGAGGATCTTGTCAATGATCTCAAGGCAGCTGGGACCATAGTCACCAAGAAAACAATTGGTAACACACTATGCCGTGAAGGACTGAAATCCTGCAGCGCCCGCAAGGTCCCCCTGCTCAAGAAAGCACATATACAGGCCCGTCTGAAGTTTGCCAATGAACATCTGAATGATTCAAAGGAGAACTGGGTGAAAGTGTTGTGGTCAGATGAGACCAAAATGGAGCTCTTTGGCATCAACTCAACTCGCCGTGTTTGGAGGAGGAAGAACGCTGCCTATGACCCCAAGAACACCATCCCCACCGTCAAACATGGAGGTGGAAACATTATGCTTTGGGGGTGTTTTTCTGCTAAAGGGACAGGACAACTTCACTGCATCAAAGGGACAATGGACGGCACCATGTACCATCAAATCTTGGGTGAGAACCTCCTTCCCTCAGCCAGGGCATTGAAAATGGGTCGTGGATGGGTATTCCAGCATGACAATGACCCAAAACACACAGCCAAGGCAACAAAGGAGTGGCTCAAGAAGAAGCACATTAAGGTCCTGGAGTGGCCTAGCCAGTCTCCAGACCTTAATCCCATAGAAAATCTGTGGAGGGAGCTGAAGGTTCGACTTGCCAAACGTCAGCCTCGAAACCTTAATGACTTGGAGAAGATCTGCAAAGAGGAGTGGGACAAAATCCCTCCTGAGATGTGTGCAAACCTGGTGGCCAACTACAAGAAACGTCTGACCTCTGATTGCCAACAAGGGTTTTGCCACCAAGTACTAAGTAATGTTTTGCAGAGGGGTCAAATACTTATTTCCCTCATTAAAATGTAAATCAATTTATAACATTTTCGAAATGCGTTTTTCTGGATTTTGTTGTTGTTATTCTGTCTCTCACTGTTCAAATAAACCTACCATTAAAATTATAGACTTATCATGTCTTTGTCAGTGGGCAAACGTACAAAATCACCAGGGGATCAAATACTTTTTTCCCTCACTGTAGAACTCGTTTTACTGTGGATATAGATACGTTTGTACCGGTTTCCTCCAGCATCTTCACAAGGTCTTTTGCTGTTGTTCTGGGATTGATTTGCACTTTTCGCACCAAAGTACGTTCATCTCTAGGAGACAGAACGCGTCTCCTTCCGGAGCGGTATGATGGCTGTGTGGTCCCATGGTGTTTATACTTGCGTACTATTGTTTGTACAGATGAACGTGGTACCTTCAGGCATTTGGAAATTGCTCCCAAGGATGAACCAGACTTGTGGAGGTCTACAATTTTTTCCCCTGAGGTATTGGTTGATTTCTTTTGATTTTCCCATGATGTCAAGCAAAGAGGCACTGAGTTTGAAGGTAGGCCTTGAAATACATCCACAGGTACACCTCCAATTGACTCAAATTATGTCAATTAGCCTATCAGAAGCTTCTAAAGCCATGACATCATTTTCTGGAATTTTCCTAGCTGTTTAAAGGCACAGTCAACTTAGTGTATGTAAACTTCTGACCCACTGGAATTGTGATACAGTGAATTATAAGTGAAATAATCTGTCTGTAAACAATTGTTGGAAAAATTACTTGTGTCATGCACAAAGTAGATATCCTAACAGACTTGCCAAAACTATAGTTTGTTAACAAGAAATGTGTGGAGTGTTTGAAAAACGAGTTTTAATGACTCCAACCTAAGTGTATGTAAACTTCCGACTTCAACTGTGTGTATATATACACACACACGTGTGTGTGTGTGTGTGTGTGTGTGTGTGTGTGTATATAAGGTACAGAGACTTACCTTGCTGATGGTGGTGGGTTTGAGCTGTGCTGTTGTGTAGCAGGGGTTAAAAAACTTATTGAGAGTCACCTGGAATGAGAGAGAAGGAAAGAGAGAGAGTGCGACGAAGAGAGTGAGGGCGCAAGAGAGAGGAAGATAATTATTATGTAGTCTAAACAGAGCAACACCAAAGATCTAAACGCAACACAGTACTGGATCCACTGCCATTCATCTCCTCATTCCTGTATCCTGACTGATGGACCACAGTGTGTCCGTGACAGCCCTGAACCAGCCCGCTGTGTGTGTGTGTGAGACTTACAGGAGGTGGGACAGTCTTGTATCTGACGTAGAAAACAGCCGCTATCAGACCGACGTCTCTGGCGATCACCAACGCTGTCAGGGGAGCTGAGAACACACATGGTCATTTTTGCTTTCAAATGTGACTTCTACCTCTATGTATTGTGGATTGTGTCGACATTGTTTGGGATTATTAGCACTGTAAACAGAAAGATTTAATTGAATTTCGCAGCATTTCAACACACACACACCTGGGATGAGCTGTGCGTAGGTGAGACTGATGTAGAGAACGCTGATGAGGATTTTATCAGCCAATGGGTCAAGCGCGCTGCCCAGCGCAGACTTCTGACTGGCCCAGTTACGGGCTATATAACCATCCAGCTACAAATAAAACACAAAGGGTTAACAGAGTGTCTAGTATGTGTGTATGGTGGTGTATTTTTGATCAAAGTACACACATACATACAAATATATATATACAGTGCTATGAAAAAGTATTTGCCCCCTTTCTAATTTTCTCTACTTTTGCATATTTGTGATACTGAATGTTATCAGATCTTCAACCAAAACCTAATATTAGATAAAGGGAACATAAGTGAACAAATAACACAACAATGACATATTTATTTCATAAACAAAGTTATGCAACACCCAATTCCCCTGTGTGAAAAAGTAATTACACTCAATAACTGGTTGTGCCACCTTTAGCTGCAATGACTCCAACCAAATGCTTCCAGTAGTTGTTGATCAGTCTCTCACGTCGCTGTGGAGGAATTTTGGCCCACTCTTCCATGTAGAACTGCTTTAACTCAGTGACGTGTGGGTTTTCAAGCATGAATTGCTCGTTTCAAGTCCTGCCACAACATCTCAATTGGGATTAGGTCTCGACTTTGACTAGGCCATTCCAAAACTTCCAATTTGTTGCTTTTTAGCAATTTTCATGTAGACTTGATTGTGTGTTTTGGATCATTGTCTTGCTGCATGACCCAGCTGCGCTTCAGCTTCAGCTCACAGACAGATGGTCTGACATTCTCCTGTAGAAAGCTCTGATACAGAGCAGAATTCATGGTTCCTTCTATTAAGGCAAGTCGTCCAGGTCCTGAGGCAGCAAAGCATCCCCAAAGCATCACACCACCACCACCACACTTGACCTTTGGTATGATGTTCTTACTGTGGAATGCAGAGTTTGGTTTTCGGCAGGCATTACTGGAACCATTACTGGTCCAAAAAGTTATACTTTTGAATCATCTGTCCATAGAACGTTCTTCCAAGAGTCTTGATGATCATCCAGGTGCTTTTTGGCAAACTTGAGTCAACTTTTTGTACGTGAGAGACTGATCAACAACTACAGGAAGCATTTGGTTGGAGTCATTGCAGCTAAAGGTGACACAACCAGTTAATGAGTGTAAGGGGGCAATTACTTTTTCACACAGGGGAATTGGGTGTTGCATAACTTTGTTTATGAAATAAATATGTAATTGTTGTGTTATTTGTCCACTTATGTTCCCTTTATCTAATATTAGGTTTTGGTTGAAGATCTGATAACATTCAGTATCACAAATATGCAAAAGTATAGGAAATCAGATAGGGTGCAAATACTTTTTCATAGCACTGTATGTGTGTGTATATATATACTGTATGTGTATATATATATATATATATATATATATATATATATATATATACACACACACACACACACACACACATATACAGTGGGGAGAACAAGTATTTGATACACTGCCGATTTTGCAGGTTTTCCTACTTACAAAGCATGTTGAGGTCTGTAATTTTTATCATAGGTACACTTCAACTGTGAGAGACAGAATCTAAAACAAAAATCCAGAAAATCACATTGTATGATTTTTAAGTAATTAATTTGCATTTTATTGCATGACATAAGTATTTGATACATCAGAAAAGCAGAACTTAATATTTGGTACAGAAACCTTTGTTTGCAATTACAGAGATCATACATTTCCTGTAGGTCTTGACCAGGTTTGCACACACTGCAGCAGGGATTTTGGCCCACTCCTCCATACAGACCTTCTCCAGATCCTTCAGGTTTCGGGGCTGTCGCTGGGCAATACGGACTTTCAGCTCCCTCCAAAGATGTTCTATTGGGTTCAGGTCTGGAGACTGGCTAGGCCACTCCAGGACCTTGAGATGCTTCTTACGAAGCCACTCCTTAGTTGCCCTGGCTGTGTGTTTCGGGTCGTTGTCATGCTGGAAGACCCAGCCACGACCCATCTTCAATGCTCTTACTGAGGGAAGGAGGTTGTTGGCCAAGAACTCGCTATACATGGCCCCATCCATCCTCCCCTCAATACGGTGCAGTCGTCCTGTCCCCTTTGCAGAAAAGCATCCCCAAAGAATTATGTTTCCATCTCCATGCTTCACGGTTGGGATGGTGTTCTTGGGGTTGTACTCATCCTTCTTCTTCTTCCTCCAAACACGGCGAGTGGAGTTTAGACCAAAAAGCTATATTTTTGTCTCATCAGACCACATGACCTTCTCCCATTCCTCCTCTGGATCATCCAGATGGTCATTGGCAAACTTCAGACGGGCCTGGACATGCGCTGGCTTGAGCAGGGGGACCTTGCGTGCGCTGCAGGATTTTAATCCATGACGGCGTAGTGTGTTACTAATGGTTTTCTTTGAGACTGTGGTCCCAGCGCTCTTCAGGTCATTGATCAGGTCCTGCCGTGTAGTTCTGGGCTGATCCCTCACTTTCCTCATGATCATTGAAGCCCCACGAGGTGAGATCTTTCATGGAGCCCCAGACCGAGGATGATTGACCGTCATCTTGAACTTCTTCCATTTTCTAATAATTGCGCCAACAGTTGTTGCCTTCTCACCAAGCTGCTTGCCTATTGTCCTGTAGCCCATCCCAGCCTTGTGCAGGTCTACAATTTTATCCCTGATGTCCTTACACAGCTCTCTGGTCTTGGCCATTGTGGACAGGTTGGAGTCTGTTTGATTGAGTGTGTGGACAGGTGTCTTTTATACAGGTAACGAGTTCAAACAGGTGCAGTTAATACAGGTAATGAGTGGAGAACAGGAGGGCTTCTTAAAGAAAAACTAACAGGTCTGTGAGAGCCGGAATTCTTACTGGTTGGTAGGTGATCAAATACTTATGTCATGCAATCAAATGCAAATTAATTACTTAAAAATCATACAATGTGATTTTCTGGATTTTTGTAACTATGATGAAAATTACAGACCTCGACATGCTTTGTAAGTAGAAAACCTGCAAAATCGGCAGTGTATCAAATATTTGTTCTCCCCACTGTATGTATATATGTGTGTATATATATATATATATATATATATGTATGTGTATATATACACACACATATGTGGACACCCATTCAAATTAGTGTATTCGACTATTTCAACCACACCCGTTGCTGACAGGTGTATAAAATCAAGCACACAGCCATGCAATCTCTATAGACAAACATTGGCAGTAGAATGGCCTTACTGAAGAGCTCAGTGACTTTCAACATGGTCGTCATAGGATACCACCTTACCAACAAGTCAGTTCGTCAAATATCTGCCCTGTTAGAGCTGCCTCGGTCAACTGTAAGTGCTGTTACTGTGAAGTGGAAACGTCTAGGAGCAACGACAGCTCAGCCGCGCAGTGGTAGGCCACACAAGCAACGTCAGCACAAGAACTGTACTTCGTGAGCTTCATGAAATGGGTTTCCATTACCAAGCAGGCGCACACAAGCCTAAGATCACAATGCGCAACGCCAAGCGTCGGCTGGAGTGGTGTAAAGCGCAACACCATTGGACTCTGGAGCAGTGGAAACGCGTTCTCTGGAGTGAGGAATCACGCTTCACCATCTGGCAGTCCGACGAACGAATCTGGGTTTGGCGGATGCCAGGAAAACGCTACCTGCCCCAATGCATAGTGCCAACTGTAAAGTTTGGTGGAGGAGGAATAATGGTCTGGGTCTGTTTTTCATGGTTCGTTTTAAGCCCCTTAGTTCAAGTGAAGGGAAATCTCAACACTACAGCATACAATGACATTCTAGACGATTCTGTGCTTCCAACTTTGTGGCAACAGTTTGCCTGTTTCAGTATGACAATGCCCCGTGCACAAAGCGAGGTCCATGCAGAAATGTTTTGTTGAGATCGGTGTGGAAGAACTTGACTGGCCTGCAGAGAGCCCTGACCTCAAACCCATTAGCCTCCAGTATCTATGCTGCAATAGTCTATGTGCCAGGGGGCTAGGGTCAGTCTGTTATATCTGGTGTTACTCTCCTGTCTTATCCGGTGTCCTGTGTGAAGTTAAGTAAGCTCCCTTTAATTATCTCTCTCCCTCCCCTCCCGGAGGACCTGAGCCCTAGGACCATGCCTCAGGACTACCTGGCCTGATGACTCCTTGCTGTCCCCAGTCCACCTGGTCGTGCTGCTGCTCCAGTTTCAACTCTTCTGCCTGTGGCTATGGAACCCTGACCTGTTCACCGGACGTGCTACCTTGTCCCAGACCTGCTGTTTTAAACTCACTCTCTCTACCGCACCTGCTATTTCAACATCTAAATGCCCAGCTATGAAAAGCCAAGTGACATTTACTCCTGTTGTACTGACCTGTTGCAACCTCTACAGCCACTGTGATTATTATCTATGAACGTTTGAACATATTGGAGAAAAATCTGGCCTTAATGGCCATGTACTGTTATAATCTCCACCCGGCACAGCCAGAAGGGGACCCCTCAAAGCCTGGTTCCTCTCTAGGTTTCTGCCTTTCTAGGGAGTTTTTCCTAGCCACTGTGCTTCTACATCTGCATTGCTTGCTGTGTGGGGTTTTAGGCTGGGTTTCTGTATAGCACTTTGAGACATCTGCTGGTGTAAAAAGGGCTTTATAAATACATTTGATTGATTGATCAAACACCTTCGGGATGAATTGGAACGCCGACTGCGAGCCAGGTCTAATCGCCCAACATCAGTGCCCGACACCACTAATGCTCTTGTGGCTGAATGGAAGCTAGTCCCCACAACAATGTTCCAACATCTAGTGGAATGCCTTCCCAGAAGAGTGGAGGCTGTTATAGCAGCAAATGGGGAACCAACTTCATATCAATGCCCATGATTTTGGAATGAGATGTTCGACGAAAATGTGTCCACATTATTTTGGTCATGTAGTGCATTTCAAGGTGTATATGTGTGTGCAGGCAGGCGTGTGTACCACGTCAGTAAATCCAGCCAAAGCAAACAGCCCAAGGGAGAGGTGAAAATGTTGCTCAGTTATCAGGACTCCCAGGACTGGAGCCAGTGCGATGCGACACACACACAGCAGGTTGGGGATGGTCCACGGGTTCTCATACTGAAACACACACACAGAAAGTAAAAAAACACTGGTTTTGCTATATCTAGTGCAGGACTGTGCATTGTTCATATGACTAGAGAATGTGTGGTTCTTTCGGTCTTTAAAACATGCATGACAGGACGAAAGTGACAGCAAGGGAAATCAGCCCTAAAAGTAGACTCAACAATATGGCATAATTTAGCCTACAGCGGGGCAACTTCCTGCTCACAGACATCAACAACAATGAATCTGCCAAGACTACGACTTGTCTTACCACACACAGACCTACCAGTTCTTTAAACTTGAACAGTCCTTGACCAGGATCAGGTAGTCTATCAGCTGGCTGGGTGGTTTCCCTCTGGTCCTCTCCAGTTGGGCAGTCGGCTGGGGTCTCCCGGGGTTTTCCACTACAGAGACCTCTCCAACCTGGAGACACACCAGAACTCACCGGGATCAACCTCAACCCCAGGAGAAGATGAGAGGGAGACGAGAAAGAGGGATCCGTAGGATAAAACTTAAAGCGGTTGTCGTTACTCCGCGTCCTCTCGTGGCCTCTGCGGTGACAGGATCGGGTGACGCTTTCGGTGGGACCCTTTAGCGCGTGGCCCCTAACCTCTGGGGTCGTTAGGTTGGGGATGTGTGTGTGAGATTGTGTGTAGCTGCACCAATGGGCGACTGAGGAGATTCTGTTTTTGAGTCTCTGCAGCAACTTCAGTTCTACCCTCACACACACACCGGTCTGCTGCTGCTGCCGCCATGACGCAGGAATTGGCCGAAACACACTTCTCCTCACACAGCGCGCCACGTTAGTTACGTGCCCTCGCGCACACACCGCCAAGAAAAACATCGCGAACAACACGCGATTTACAAAATAACCTCATGTACTCCTCTTCACACACACAGCTGTTTATAACACCTCCCCGCTGGTTCATATTTTTCCTGTTACCTTATTATCAACCAGCAACTCTAGCCGATCATGCCAACGTCTTCCATGTTTGCTGCCGTATTCCGCGACAGTTTTACGACGTCGTGTTATTGGTGGATCTCACCAGACATACAAGCGTCTCTGGTCACTTAAAAGACGGCTTACCAAAATCGGTCCTGGGGCCCACCCGGGTGCACGTTTTGGTTTTTGCCCTAGCACTACACAGCTGATTCAAATAATCAAAGCTTGATGATGAGTTTGTTATTTGTAGTGCTTGGGCAAAAACCAAAACGTGCACCCGGGTGGGCCCCAGGCCCGATTTTGGGAAACCATGTTTTAAGTGACCAGAGACGCTTGTATCTCTGGTGATATCCACCAATACCACGACGTCATAAAACTGTCGCGGAATACGGCAGGACCGAGTTTGGGAAACCCTGATTTAAAAAGTTAGCTAGTTGTGATAATTTGGGTAATTATAATCCGACAATGCAGGATGTGTAAACCGTTTGAGGCTTCAGAGTGCATAATCTGTTACCACTACCTGTCTCCCTTTCTCTACAATGCAAACGTTACTTATTTCACGCCTGCGCACTCAGATAAATCCTTGAACCAGCCACTTGCGCCACAGCTGAACAACCAGCGCCTCGCAGTGGCCTCTATGCGCAACTGCAAAGGAGTCTGCAAAACCCAGTTGTTCCTAATATTTTCAACATTTACTTTATTTTACCAAAACGTTCATAATATTTATAACTTATTTATTTTACCACATTCGTCTCCAGAGCAGTTAAATGTTAAGATTTGCCTAAGGCAAATAGTCAAAATATAAAAAATACATTAACATTGGTCAGGAATTCATATTCAAAACAGTTTAATTATTCATGTATTAAACTGTTATATATTAAATCAGTATTGGAAGAATTCACTGATACACAATCAATTCTTAAGTAACAGCAGGTCTTTAGATTATGTTTGTGTGTTATATAGTCTGTAGCTGGTACTGTCTGTGTCCTTTCTTCAGCAGGTAGCCCTGTTCATTCAGAGAACTGATGAAACCTTCAAAGTCAGCAACCTGTTTCAAAACACACACACAAAACCTTTTGAATTCCAAGACCTGAAACATAACAGCGGCCGTAAGACAGAAAGCAACAGACAAAGGTGTGTGTAGGTGTTACCTGTATGTTGAGGTCCTTGGCCAGGCTGCGTAGCTGTGTGAGGTCGTACAACATGGTGTGTGTGCGCTGAGCATGTGTGTTGAGCGCAGTGATAAATCTCTTGGCAGCCGAACGCTGACTCATCCCAACACCCAGTACCGACCGCTCAAAGTCCAGACCTCCACTACCATCAGAGAAGGTATCTGCCAGACTGACACACACACCAGACAATATACACATTCACACACACCAGAATGTCCCCCACAGAACTGTCCCTTTTATTTGAAGGTATTTTCATAAATCTGTTTTACCGTTTAGAAATGAAAGCACTTTATCTAGTCCCCCCCATTTGAAGGTATCATAAGTATTTGAACAAATTCACTTATAGTGTAGGCAATTTAGTCCAAAGTTTAGTATTTGGTCCCATATTGCTAGCACGCAATGACTACAAGCTTGTGACTCTACAAACTTGTTGGATGCATTTGCAGTTTGTTTTGGTTGTGTTTCAGATTATGTTATGCCCAATAGAAATGAATGGTAAATAATGTATTGTGTCCTTTTGGAGTCATTTTTATTGTAAATAAGAATAGAATGTTTCTTAACACTTCTACATTAATGTGGATGCTACCATGGATTACGGATAATCATGAATGAATCGTGAATAATGATGAGAGAGAAAGTTTTAGAGGTATAAATATCATACCTCCCAAAAAATGCTACCCTCCATGTTTTAGGGGCATGATCTCTGTGCATCTGTAAATTACTCACTCATCATTATTCACGATTCATTCATGATTATCTGTCATCATGGTAGCATCCATATTAATGTACAAGTGTTTAGAAACATATTCTGTTCTTATTTACAATAAGTGACATTATGTACCCATTATGTAACCTATCAGTGAATTTGTCGAAACACTTATGACACCTTCAAATGGACTAGATACACATAGTACATTCATTTCTAAACGGTAAAACATATGTATGGAAATACCCTCAAATCGAAAGGTGACATTCTGTACTGTCACCTCATATAAAACATTTGATCTCAAATCCAAAATGGTAGAGTATAGAGCCAAATTAAATGTTTTAGCTTCACTGTCCAAATAGATACGCAGGGGAATGTATGTGGGATAGTGTGTTACCTGTGTTTCATGATCTCCACTACGTCTTCAGCGTCACTCTTGGTGGCTGTCTCTCTGAGCTCCAGCTTCGCCCGCGCCTACACACACACACAGTCAGGAGTCAGGGCACAGGGTCACCTCTGTGTGACATGTTAGAGACTTTAGGATGTGTAATGATCAAATGACGTGTGTGTATTTGAGTGATGTGTTTGAGTACCTCTGTGAGGCGGATGAGGGACTCCAGCTGACGTGTGGTGATGGGTGTGGCGTCGACAGGGTGTGTGTGTGAGCGCAGGGAGAGGTAGAAGTCCTGGAGCGTCTGGGCAGCGGCGGTAGAGAGCGAGGGATGAACATAGCGTCGAGCGTAACCAACATATTTTCTCAGCAGGGAGTGGGGGATGGGGTCTACACACTCCCCTGGACACACCTTACAGACAGACGGACTCAATGTCAGAAATTCCATATATATTGGTAAAGTACTTTGGCATTTGTGTGTGTGGGTACCTGCAGCCGGTCAGACAGGGGTGTGTCGGAGGGCTCCAGCAGTGAACTCTGTGATTTATGGTCGTCTCCTCGTGTAACCACGGCACCTGAGGCCCCTCCCTTCCCTGACCTGACGGCCATGACATGTTCCGACAGCCGGCGGTCATGTGACTCATCAGGAACATCCAATAGGAGGAAGACCACGTCAAACCTCGACAGGAGGGCACTGCCCATCCTACACACACATACACAAAATAAGTCAACTTGTACCTACAGTTCAGCATTAGCTAAAAATGAAAGGTGTATGTTTACTTGAGGTTTTCGGAGACCGTCTTGGCCCTGTTGTAGTGTCCTCCAGCAGGGTTAGCAGCAGCGATAACAGAGGTCCTAGCAGGTAAGGAACACACCAGACCAGCCTTAGCCAGACTGATGGTCTGCTGCTCCATGGCTTCTAGTAACGCCTGCTGCTGGTGGCCCAGCTTATCAAACTCATCTATACAGCACAGCCCTGACACACACACACACACACAAATGGCACAGATAGGTTGGATGATGACAGTTGGGATGATGATAGTTGGGATGTAAGCACACACACCCACCCCTACCTTGGTCTCCTAGTACCAGAGCTCCAGCCTCCAGTGCGTAGTCTCCAGAGCCAGCGTCTCTGGAGAGAGTGACGGTCAGCCCTGACGTACTGGTAGTGTTACCACACACATAGATCCCCCTGGGAGCCACATTACACACCGCCTACCCACACACACACACACAGTTACACCGGCGAGTTTGAGGTTGGCGTGTGTGTAAGTGTGTGTGTACGTTACCTGTAGCATCTGACTCTTCCCCAGGCCAGGGTCTCCCACCACCAGTATATGAGGGTCTCCTCTGACGGGGATCCTGTTCTTATCATCAGCATGCTTCTGACTGCCTCCAAACAATGCTAAGGACAGGCCTGCTTTTACTAGCTTCAAACAAACACACACACACTTTTTTTTAAACAAACACAATTTTTTTAAAACGTGGCCACAGCTTAGCTGAAACAACATGGCCACTGGAAAGGCTTACTCACCAGGTGGCCGTAGATGGCTGGACACAAGGAGCTGGAAGACAAGTCACATCAGTCACTCACAATAGATATCAAAAGCACTCTAGTAGTACAGTACAGTACAGTAGTAGAGTAGTATTCTGTGTTTGATTGTGTCTTACTGTACGATGAGCTTCAGTAGATCAGGTTGGCTATGTATTTCCTGGATGGCGTACAGCTCCTTCAAAGAGAACTCTATCCCCGATGACCGTTCACCTCCAGACGACCCCTGACCTCCAGCCTCCTTTACTTTCTGACCTTAAGAACAAACTTTTTGTCCACGCAATTTGGAAACACTTCATTGTTTGGCCTTCGGCCTCCCAATAACATGAGTAACAACTACACAATAACAGACCTACAACTACCTTTAGAGTTGCTGACGGAGTTGGCCTCGATGTAGAGCAGGAACATACACTTATCCTTCTTCCCCCTGCTGCCGCCTACACACACACCTCATCAATTACTCAGACAGTGCCAGTGATGTTAACAACTGTGTGTGTGTGTGTGTGTGTGTGTGTGTGTGTGTGTGTGTGTGTGTGTGTGTGTGTGTGTATACCGTCGTCTTGGCTGACTCTGACTGTTCCAGTAATAGTAACAGTGTCTCCAGGGACAGCACTGTCACAGAGGTCAGAGGTCAGGTGACATTCCACTGTCCGAGGGATCCGCCCTGCCTCCCTCTGCTCTCCTCCAATCATCTCCTGGACCCTGGGGCACCATGGGAGATAGTTTGCATCAACAGCCTCAGTCCCCTAAACCCTTTCCCCCTAGCCCATACACCCTAGTCACTGACCCCTAGCCCATACACACGGACCCCTAGCCCATACACCTTAGACATGAACCCCAAGCCCATACACCCTAGACACAGACCCCTAGCCCATACACCCTATACATGTCTGGAGATCTAAGAGGATTGGATAGTTATGTTTAAGCATGATAAATAATAGTGTAGTTACTTGATATTCTGCCAGTCCACAGTGAGGGTGAGAGGGGAGCTCCTGTTGGGGACGAATGAACGACTGCGACACTCTGGCTGCACACACTGAAGAAACACACGCTCGCACAATCAGTACACACACACACACAGCCTGTGGTTCAATCCAATGTAGGTTGTGGTGAAAGTGCTCTGTGGCAAGGTGAGTGTGTGTTGTACCTTGGTGGGCGTGGTGAACTTGCCGTGTGGCAGGGTGAGTGTGTGTGTGTGTGAGCAGCCGGAGCAGGTGAAGGCCAAGCGTGTGCAGAGTGGTCTGATGTTGCTGACACGGACCACGGTCCCCCTCACACACACCAACCGACCAAACACACTCGCACGCAGCATCCTCAGGGCTGTCAATGGCTCATAGTTATACAACCTGAAACAAACACACAGTTATACAACCTGAAACTGAGTCAGAGAGAGACCGTGAGAGAGAGTGTGCGTGTGTTTTACCTGGCGCTGATGTGTGGTATGTTAATGATGGGTGTGGCTCCCCCAGGAAGCCCTTCCCCGTGTAACTCTGCAGCGTGTCTCTCCAAGTCCACCGTCAAAACCTGACACACACACACACACATTAAAATACATAGACACAACTACCTTCAGTGAAGTATGTGTGTGTGTGTGTGTGTACCTGGTGTATGGCGAGGCCCAGACAGTTGAGGGTGGTCTCTGGTTGTTCTCTCAGCTGATTGGCCAGGTCCGGCAGAGCCATACACACCTCCTTATCCTCAACCAGACCCTTATAGTCCACCAACACACTGCCCTGACGCTCAATCTCATCCTACACACACACACACAAATTAAGCTTACCTGCTCGCCAAAGGCTACTATTTTCAGAGCTTAAAACAATGTGCTGAAAACTCTGTTTTTTCATCTTACTTTGTCGTAAAGGTGTATCTGTGAGGTGAAGTACTGTTCAAACACTTTGATCTTCTCCACATACGGAGAACTCTCTACGAAACCTTCATACAGGAAACACACACACAATTAGATCATTACAAAAAAAATAGGCATATAGACAATACACACATACCACAGGTTGGCGGAACCGTAATTGAGGAGGACGGGCTCGTGGTAATGGCTGGGGTGGAATAAGTGGAACGGTATCAAATACATCAAACACGTCTTCCATGTGTTTGATGCAATTCCATTTACGCCATTCCAGCCATTATTATGAGCCGTTCTCCTCCACTGATACACACCTACCTTCAGTGAAGTAGAGGGCCCAGCCTTTATAAGGACAGAGTCTGTCCAGAGTGGTCTGAGACACACAGGACTGAGAAGAGCCTAGAGAGACAGCAAGAGAAAGAGATACTGAAGCCTCCACCATCCAGTCAGTGTTGTCCCAAAACCAAGGGGTTGGAAATCATTGAGGGGTTAAGGAATATTTAGAGGCTAGTTAGGGGCTAGTCTTACCTCTAACTGACCCTTACCTCTAACCAGGCTAACCGTGTGTGTGTGTGTCTGACCCATACCTCTTTGAGCACTGGGGGGGCGTGAGTTTCCTCTCCGTGGTCTTCCTCTCCATCCCCCTCCTCCCCATCCCCCCTCCCCATCCCTCCCCCCTCCATCCCCCCCCTCCCTCTCCATCCCCCTCCTCTCCATCCTCCCCTTTGCCCGCCTCTGCAGGAGCCGTGACCAGAACCCTCTCCACTCATCTTACACCTGGAAATGAGAGAGAGAGATAACGTAGAGAAATAGAGAGGTTCAGGTGTTTGGGGATGAATAGGGATAGCTCGTTCTGAAGGCATCCTAACATCCTGAACATTTGTGGAAAACTGTAATATTGGGGAATGGAGCGAAACAGGCTAAAGTTGTTAATGAAGATTGGCCTCGGTCTAATAATGCCTTGTTCCTTGTTGTAGTATGTTTCATGGAGAAGGGTGTGTTTTTGGGAGACGCACTGGGAAAGGTGGAGTCAAAGTGACCAGGAGTGGTATGGTGTTAATTTATTGCGTGTTAGAAGAACAAAATGAAAGTGCACTGTGTCTTGGGGAATTCAGTAGAAAGCTTTAATTTTCTGAACAGGGCACCGGTAAAAGGTGTCATCTCTGGCGTTGCGGTGGAAATTGAGGCTGAAAAACTAAAGCAGAAAGGTACCAGGAGTAGTGTGGGCAAGTCGATTGAACCGTATGGTGAATGGAAGGAAAGAGGAAAGCCTATTGGTGCTATTGTTATTTGATGAAGAATCTCTTCCGACATGCAAAGCTGAGATACAGTGGGGGAAAAAAGTATTTAGTCAGCCACCAATTGTGCATGTTCTCCCACTTAAAAAGATGAGAGAGGCCTGTAATTTTCATCATACGTACACGTCAACTATGACAGACAAAATTAGAAAAAAATATCCAGAAAATCACATTGTAGGATTTTTAATGAATTTATTTGCAAATTATGGTGGAAAATAAGTATTTGGTCAATAACAAAAGTTTCTCAATACTTTGTTATATACCCTTTGTTGGCAATGACACAAGTCAAACGTTTTCTGTAAGTCTTCACAAGGTTTTCACACACTGTTGCTGGTATTTTGGCCCATTCCTCCATGCAGATCTCCTCTAGAGCAGTGATGTTTTGGAACTTTCAACTCCCTCCAAAGATTTTCTATGGGGTTGAGATCTGGAGACTGGCTAGGCCACTCCAAGACCTTGAAATGCTTCTTACGAAGCCACTCCTTCATTGCCCGGGCGGTGTGTTTGGGATCATTGTCATGCTGAAAGACCCAGCCACGTTTCATCTTCAATGCCCTTGCTGATGGAAGGAGGTTTTCACTCAAAATCTCACGATACATGGCCCCATTCATTCTTTCCTTTACACGGATCAGTCGTCCTGGTCCCTTTGCAGAAAAACAGCCCCAAAGCATGATGTTTCCACCCCCATGCTTCACAGTAGGTATGGTGTTCTTTGGATGCAACTCAGCATTCTTTGTCCTCCAAACACGACGAGTTGAGTTTTTACCAAAAAGTTATATTTTGGTTACATCTGACCATATGACATTCTCCCAATCCTCTTCTGGATCATCCAAATGCACTCTAGCAAACTTCAGACAGGCCTGGACATGTACTGGCTTAAGCAGGGGGACACGTCTGGCACTGCAGGATTTGAGTCCCTGGCGGCGTAGTGTGTTACTGATGGTAGGCTTTGTTACTTTGGTCCCAGCTCTCTGCAGGTCATTCACTAGGTCCCCCCGTGTGGTTCTGGGATTTTTGCTCACCGTTCTTGTGATCATTTTGACCCCACGGGGTGAGATCTTGCGTGGAGCCCCAGATCGAGGGAGATTATCAGTGGTCTTGTATGTCTTCCATTTCCTAATAATTGCTCCCACAGTTGATTTCTTCAAACCAAGCTGCTTACCTATTGCAGATTCAGTCTTCCCAGCCTGGTGCAGGTCTACAATTTTGTTTCTGGTGTCCTTTGACAGCTCTTTGGTCTAGGCCATAGTGGAGTTTGGAGTGTGACTGTTTGAGGTTGTGGACAGGTGTCTTTTATACTGATAACAACTTCAAACAGGTTCCATTAATACAGGTAACGAGTGGAGGACAGAGGAGCCTCTTAAAGAAGAAGTTACAGGTCTGTGAGAGCCAGAAATCTTGCTTGTTTGTAGGTGACCAAATACTTATTTTCCACCATAATTTGCAAATAAATTCAATAAAAATTCTCAATTGGTCTGTCATAGTTGACGTGTACCTATGATGAAAATTACAGGCCTCTCTCATCTTTTTAAGTGGGAGAACTTGCACAATTGGTGGCTGACTAAATACTTTTTTCCCCCCACTGTATATGAGATACGAGAGCTTATGTGAACAGACTGTTGCAGTGTCATAAATGTAAAAAGTTTGGCCACTGGCAAGTGTGTGCTGAAGGAATAAATACGGTATGTTGTGGAAGAGTCAGTGGATACACGTTCATGAGTTCCCTGTAAGGGTGAAGAAGGTCTAAGTAGCAAAAATCCGGGCTGTCCACCAGGTCTCCTATGCAGAGGCAGTGCAAATAGCTGAAGGAAAAAGTGCAAATGAGGAAGAAATGGCAATGGATGCTCCGCAGCCTGCAGAAAGTGTTGTTCATCAGTTGAGGGATCCTGAAGTAGTGATTGTTAAGAAGGTGGATTTTGTTGCCTTTATTGCGGAGGTGATAAATTGTACAAGTCAAACTAACAAGACATCTTAGAAACTCGACATAATTGTGAATGCAGCAAACCGTTTTTTGGACCTCCAGGAATTTACGGCTGAATCGTTGCAGGGAATACAGTCCGAAGATGCGCTTCGCTCTCAGGACCCAGAGCCTGTTGGGAGAATGAACAGAATCTGAAAGGAGTACATATTTTTGTTGTAGTTTTTGGGCGGGGGAGATTGTTTGCGGACCGACATAATGCCGAAGAAGATTAACCTCGCTAACATAACTAGTTTAATAGAGGAATATGACTCGATAAATCAATTAAATAGCTAGCTGTTATGTTGGGGGTGAACGAGAGCTAACTTAGGTCATCTGAGCTAGCTAACTCACAATTTACGCTGAAAAGTTAACCACCTACCTTAACTAACTTCAGCTACCTCACCTGCTACTAGAACAGCTAAGCTAGCTAGCTAACGTTAGCTACAATCCTGGAAGACAAATGTTGCTGCTCACCGGAGTTGCTTGGCTGGGAAGCGAAGTCACCTCTAAAGACAAACTTTACAGATTAATAGATACTCGTTGGTTACGCTTCTTTAATGAGCTAAATGTGCCATGATATTCTTAACTAGCTATAGCAGAAATATAGAAATCCATATATTTGGCTATAGTAAGTAGTTAACAAAACGTCAGCTTCTGGATTCTGTTGATGATGGTTCTGTTTATCAATTTTTTGCTTTGGCGCAATTTTGAGGCAACTTCCGCTTCTTTGCAGCGGAAGACCATACAAATAGCATAAAAAAATACCAATCATAGTTTTGTTTTAAGTCTTGTATGAATATCTATACAACACACTTGTTATAGAAGCTAGCAGAAAATATAAATGCAGTATGATTCGTACGTTAAAAAATCGTACTGGATTTCAACTTGCAATTTTCTCCAGCTCGCTAGGTGGAGGTAACGCACCAAGACTGTCTGAGGAAATCAGAATAAATAGTCATACAACCAAGGAAGATTCTCTCTCATCAGCACCATCTCAGCAAAACCGATTCTCCGGAATATTTGTTTTTACCTTGTCGACGACACACACACAGCCCAATCAGCGATGGATACCTCCGGGAAAGAGAAGGAGGCGATGCAGTTGATGGCTGAAGCCGACAAGAAGGTCAAATCCTCTGGCTCGTTCCTGGGGGGTATGTTCGGGTGAGATGAGATGCACTGGTTTTCTTGTACCAAGTCAGTAAACGAGCGCTAATTTCAGTACTTCATCACGGCGGGGGGAAGGGTCGAGGCTTTGCATGACATTGGACACCAAAAAATAGCGAGTGTATTGGTGATGTAGCTGTGTGATGGTTAGGCCTACATTAATGTAAATGGTTTAAAAGTATAATTATACAGTAGTGAGGGGGAGAATGTCGGGCCTGTTTGTCGCAGTCAGGCCTCTGCCTTGGGGAGAAGATCTGCAGTGTTCCGGTCATCTGACAGCAAATGGTCAACATGTACTGTTTAACCACCAGGATATCGTTGCTCATTACAGATGACAGTAGGACCGCGTATTAAAGGGTAGTGGCCTATTATATAGGTACGGAAGTCCAGAAAGGACATACTGTATGAATAAATAAATTCATTCCTTTGTTATGTCGAGATCACAACTTATTTACACTACATCACCAAAAGTATATGAACACCCCTTTAAAATTAGTGGATTCGGCTATTTCAGCCACACCCGTTGCTGACAGGTGTATAAAATCGAGCACACAGACATGCAATCTCCATAGATAAACATTTGCAGTAGAATGGCCCAGTCAACTGTAGAGCTCAGTGACTTTGAACGTGGCACCGTCATAAGATGCCACCTTTCCAACAAGTCAGTTTGTCAAATTCCTTCCCTGGTAGAGCTGCCCCAGTCAACTGTAAGTGCTGTTATTGTGAAGTGGAAACGTCTAGGAGCAACAACGGCTCAGCCGTGAAGTGGTAGGCCTCACAAGCTCACAGAACTGGACCGCCGAGTGCTGAAGCGCATATCACGTAAAAATCGCCTGTCCTCGGTTGCAACACTCACTACCGAGTTCCAAACTGCCTGCTGGAAGCAACGTCAGCACAATAACTGTTCGTCGGGAGCTTCATGAAATGGGTTTCCATGGCCGAGCAGCCGCATACAAGCCTAAGATCACCATGCGCAATGCCAAGCGTCGGCTGGAGTGGTGTAAAGCTCACTGCCATTGGACTCTGGAGCAGTGGAAATGCGTTCTCTGGAGTGATGAATCACGCTTCACCATCTGGCAGTCCGACGGATGAATCTGGGTTTGGTGGATACCAGGAGAACGCTACCTGCTTGAATACATAGTGCCAACTGTAAAGTTTGATGGAGGAGGATTAATGGTCTGGGGCTGTTTTTCATGGTTCGGGCTAGGCCTCATAGTTCCAGAGAAGGGAAATCTTAACGCTACATCATACAATGACATTCTAGACGATTCTGTGCTTCCAAATTTGTGGCAACAGTTTAGAGAGGGCCTTTCCTGTTTCAGCATGACAATGCCCCAATGCACAAAGCGAGGTTCCATACAGAAATGGTTTGTTGAGATCGGTGTGGAAGAACTTGACTGGCCTGCACAGAGCCCTGAACTCAACCCCATTGAACACCTTTGGGATGAATTGGAATGCCGACTGCTAGTCAGGCCTATCGCCCAACATCAGTGCTGACCTCACTAATACTCTTGTGGCTGAATGGAAGCAAGTCCCCACAGCAATGTTCCAACATCTAGTGGAACCGCCTTCCCAGAAGAGTGGAGGCTGTTATAGCAGCAAAGGGGGGACCAACTCCATATTAATGCCCATGATTTTGGAATGAGATGTTCGACGAGCAGGTGTCCACATACTTTTGGTCATGTAGTGTATCTCATGATCACGACATAACAAAAGTTGTTTTGTCGAGATCACAAGATAAACTCTATAAATAGGAGTGTGGGCGTATTGATGATGGATTGACAGTATGTCTGAGGCAGCAGAGCTCATGGTGGATCAGAGCATACGTTTTTATTGATTGCTACACAAAGGGATGGTACATTTCATGCTAACATCATGCTTTCGTTTGTGTTTGCAGCTTATTATCAGTTTCTAAGTTAGAATGTAAGCAAGCTAAATGTTCCTTGCCTTGAGCTGAAAGCACATGGGGCATTTAAGCCCTGAATGATGTCTGACAGGCAGCACTGTCCCCCAGGCTGTGTGTTCCACCCCCAGGACCACAGTCAATCACATGCAAGCAATAACGCAGCCAACTTGGCTAGTCTCGTGAGCGAGCTAGCTAGCTAGGTAGTCTTGTTAGCTAGCTTGCTAGCTAGCTTGTTATCTGTGTTGGTTGTTAGCTTGCATAACTGATATGTGTATAATTGTAAGGGACACTTAATGTTATTTCAATTTACAGAGTGGGTGATCTCCATTCCTGACAGGCTGATCAGATTCAAGAGCAACCTCACAGGCTAATAAGTCAGGATTCTGCCTTGTAGGCTTTCATAGGTAAAGCTTCTTGTAGGCAGATTATCATTCAGTGCGTTATGTATATGATCAAGAGTGGGTGCACTCTATTCCTAGCAGGCTGATCAGGTTCAATAGCATCCTCAGAGGCTAATAAGTCAGGATACTGCCTGTAGGCAGTCTACAAGGAGCCTTACATATGAAAAGCCTTCAAGGCAGTATCCTGATTTATCAGCCTCTGAGGCTGCTATTGAATCTGATCAGCCTGCCAGGAATAGAGCACACTCACTCTGGATTCTATGCATCAGCCTATAAAGCGCTGACAGCTAATCTGCCTGCAAGGAGCTTTACCTATGAAACAGCCTACAAGGCAGCATCCTGACATCAGCCTCTGAAGCTGCTATTGAATCTGATCAGCCTGCTAGGAATAGAGCTCACCCCCCGAATCAGATATGCATCTGCCTATAAAGAACTTTGACAGCTAATCTGCCTGCAAGGAGCCTTACCTATGAAACAGCCTACAAGGCAGCATCCTGATTTATCAGCCTTTGAGGCTGGAATGTTATCTGATCAGCCTGTCAGGAATGGAGCTTGCCCACTGTAAATGTAAATATTATGCACAAAACATGACGTGTCCCTTATAATTATATAACAGTTATGGAAGCTAACAACCAGCATAGATAACAAGACTACCTGGCTAACTAGCTAGCTCATAAGACTAGCCAAATTAGCTGCGTTGTTACTTGCATGCGATTGGCTGTGGTCTTGGGGGCGGCATGCAGCCTGGTAGACTACCTGTCAGGCATCGTTCAGGGCTTAAATGGCCCACGAGCACATTGCGATCAATGCAGCACAGGGCTCCTTGATGAGTTGGTTATCGTGCATCTGAACAAATGAATGGATGATGCGTGGTACTTTTGATTATCTCGTGATCTCAACAAAACAACTTTTGTTATGACTTGATCATGAGAAAATTATCTTGTGATCTTGACAAAACAACTTTTTTGTTATGTAGTGATAATGAGATAAATAAGTTGTGATCTTGAGATAACAAGATAATATTTTTGTATTCATACAGTATGTCCTCTCTGGACTTCCATATAGGCCTATTCTGTAGAACAGACATGGCTCTCTGACATGTAGAGTAAGCCAGCTCTATTCATGAGATGTCTATATTTTCTTTAGTAGACAATGATCAGTTTGCATCCTCCTGAATGAGACCCAGTAAACACAAACACACATATTCTGACGGTGTCCAGGTCTATAGCTCATATACCTGCCAAGGTTTTTAACCGTGTGTGTGTGTGTGTGTGTGTGTGTGTGTGTGTGTGTATTTCAGGGGGAGTCACCACAAAGTAGAAGATGCATGTGAGATGTACGCCAGAGCAGCCAACATGTTCAAGATGGCCAAGAACTGGACCGGTGGGTCACACACACACACACACACACACACACACACACACACACACACATACAATAGACATTATAATTATATTTGTGTGTGTGTGTAGCTGCTGGTAATGCGTTCTGCCAGGGTGCCCGGCTCCACATGCAGCTGCAGAACAAACTGGACTCAGCCACCAGCTTCGTCGACGCAGGGAATGCTTACAAGAAGGCTGACCCTCAGGGTAGGAACACGCACCCACACCCACTCACTAGACTAGACTAGAGGGCAAAGCCTCCCTGACATCTGGGACCCTCCCCTTTGATATTAGTCGCTAATAGTAGGTCAAGTATGCTTCTGTCTGTGTTCTCTCTCTCTTGCCCTCTCTGGTGGGAAAACCTAACCTCTCTTACTCTGCTCCCTTCATCTATATCCCTGCCCCCTTTTCTCTTTCTCTCTCCCCTATTTCACTCCTCCCTTTCCCCCTCTTTCTTGTAGAGGCTATCAACTGTCTAAATGCAGCCATCGATATTTACACTGACATGGTAAGCCTAGTCCAACCCTTGAGCCCTGACCTCTAATCCCTAACCTGTGACCTCTAACCATACCACTCTCATCTTGAACCTGCTTCACCCGTTTCTATGTGCAATTGTGCATGTACTGTGTGTAAGGGGGGCTATGTTTTCTAGCCATCATCGAATGAGACCGCCCGATATGAAGGCTGATACAGTATGTATATTCTAGTGATTCTGTATCAGTGTTGTTGCAATCGACATGTTATTCTCCATCTCTGTCCTAACGATCCACATGTGTATTACAGGGTAGGTTTACTATCGCAGCCAAACATCACATCACCATTGCAGAGGTGTATGAGTCTGAGCTGGTGGACATAGAGAAGGTACGGAACACACACACAAACGCGCGCGTGCACACACACACACACACACACACACAGACACACAACTCCTTATGAACAATACTTTATGTGTGTGTCTCCTGTTGCCCAGGCGATCGCCCACTATGAGCAGGCAGCCGATTATTATAAAGGGGAGGAGTCAAACAGGTGAGTCTCCTGTGTTGTTTAGTATAAATGAATACTATACTATTCAGTTATGCTACCCTCTACTACTACTGTACTGTACTCAAATGCTATTGTATTATACTACTCTAGTACTTTTTATCATATAGATTAGGGTTCAGGGGGAGTTGTCATGAGGGGTTCTCCAGGGCTCTATACTGGGACCTGTGCTGTTCCTTCTGTCTCTCGCTGTCTCTCTCCTCTCTCTGTCAGTTCTGCTAACAAGTGTCTGCTGAAGGTGGGCCACTACAGCGCTCAGCTGGAGCAGTATCCGAAAGCCATTGAGATCTACGAGCAGGTGTGTTTGTGTGTGTTTTGCCTGCATTTTAAAACCCTGAAATGTAATCGGCTCTCTCTGAGGGATGTCAAAGTGATGTAATGGTGTGTGTGTGTGTCAGGTGGCCACCAATACCATGGACAACCCCTTGCTGAAGTATAATGCCAAAGAGTACTTCTTTAAAGCCTCCCTCTGCCACTTCATAGTGGATGAACTCAACGCAAAGGTATTATTATTATTATTATTATCATTATTATTAGTGGTAGTAGTTCTCTTGTTTTGAAGCAAGACACACAGAGTAGACACATATTCTTCATATTATTCCAACTGAACCGAGGGAGCACCTGTCAATTATTAGTGATTACAAGTGTGTGTGTTTGTGTATTTTATAGCTGGCCATAGAGAAGTATGAGGAGATGTTTCCTGCTTTCGCAGACTCCAGAGAGTGCAAGCTGCTGAAGGTAGACACGATGAGCGCCTTTGTGTGTGCGTGTGTGTAACAGACTTCACGCTGCTTGTTTAACAGCATAGCTTCCTTCTTCACGAGCCCACACCCATCTCCCCCTCTCTGTCTCTCTGTAGAAGTTGCTGGATGCCCATGAGGAGCAGAACTGTGAGGCGTTTACTGAAGCTGTTAAAGAGTTTGACTCCATCTCTCGTCTGGACCAATGGCTCACCACCATGCTGCTCCGTATTAAGAAGACCATCCAGGGAGATGCTGGAGATCTCAAATAAAGAGATATAGAGGGGTGGGTTGGGGGGGATACAAGAGGGAGGGAGGGATAGAGAAAAAGATAGAGAGAGGATGGACAGAGACGGAAGGAGAGATGAGGGCGAAAGGGATGGAGGGAGAGATATAGGGTTAGGGCAGTGGTGTGAAGGGAGACGGGTCTCTATGCGTTCGATGTGTTCAGTGTAAATAAGTCCATGACTCCTGTAGTCCATCATGTCTTACCATACCTCTCCACACACTCCTGTCAAAAACGTTAGCTGTTTCAACTTAAAAATAGGAGTTACCCAGCTGATGTAATGTTACGTCAACTTATCAAGTTGAGTTGACAAAACCAGGGAACTCCTATTAGATACATTATAGTAGACAACTTCATACAACTTTATATTTTAGGTCAGTGGGGTACACTTACACTCATGTTTTTAAGTTGAAACAGTAAGCTTTTTACAGTGCATGTCACACTTAACCTTCCTAACCTCTCCACTGAATGTCTTCCCTTGTTTGGACCATGAACGTTCATGTTTTAAAGTGTAGGGCTGTACAGATAGTGTGTGTAAAGGTGGAGTGTGTGTGTGTCGTGCGCACGCACACAATGTATCACATTGAAGCCATTATATATGTGCCAGTGCTGGTTGTCGTTGTTTGTGTTTGTTGTGTGTGTGTGTGTGTGTGTGTGTGTGTGTGTGTGTGTGTGTGTGTGTGTGTGTGTGTTTGAGTGAGAGAGACAACCAAAGGGAATGAACACTAGCTCTATGGGACTGTATCGTGGTAATATAACGGTGTGTTAATGATTCTTGTTATATCGAAGTCCTCTATTTATGTTTGAACCCTTTAGTGTCCGCTCCTCTTGCCCCTAACCCCACATATCACACCACTACTCCCTACACACTTCTCCCCTAACCCCTAGACACTCCCCCTAGCCTCAACACACTTCCCTTAACCCATGTACACTTCTTCACTACACCATAGACACATCCCCTCCATAGAAATAGAATGAATAGAAAAGGTGTCCCCATTCAAGTCCATTATGGCATAATGGGTGGATTGGCAGCCAATGCGAGTGTACCCATTGGAGCAAAGTAGGAAGTAAAAGCAGGAAGTGTGTTGATTCAACTCAACTTACATTACAAAAAATATGAGCCACCTCAGTTAACATTATTTGAATGAACATTCTACATTACCATGGAAATGATTGCATCACAATACCAGGCAGCTATTGCGAGTGTACCCATGAGTTTACCAGTCAAATTGCCAGGGTTAGAAGTTCCAAGCCCGTTCTATTTATTCTATTTCTATGGTCCCCTTAGATACTTCTTCCACCCCTAGACACTTATGATCTGAAAAGATTGGATAGGTATAAGCACACACATATCCAATCCTCTCAGATCTACACAAGTGTTAAGGGTCAGAGGTTAAGGGTTAAGGCCAAATATTATGGGAAGTGTCTGTAATGTAGTGTGTGTTGCTGTGTTGTGCTTTTGTGCTGTGTGTGTATTCCGCAGCATGTTGCCACGGTAATGATGTGTGTGTTGTGTGCAATCAAACTATAGGTTATCACACATATCTCTATGTTCATTAATTATCACACGTTTGTATGATATGATGATGTGCAAAAATTTACAAAAAAATAAACTTCAACAAACTTGCATTTGCTGCCGTGTGTGTGCCTGCGTGCGTGTGTGAAAGAGAGCGAGAGGGGAGAATATTGTATATTTCTATAATCAAAATCAATTCAAATAAAATATTTAATCAATTTAAAATTATGGGAATTTTCGTGAAATCAAATAACGATATCTAACACTGATTTTCCAAATTGTATGCACATTTGTCAGACGGTAGGACTACAAACAAAACATTCTCTTCAGGCTGTATAATCTCATTTTGTCAATGAAACAGCAGCAGCTTCGTCATTTTTTCAGACATTCCGATGTTGTTTTTAGAAAACCGCGTTATTTGTTATCAGCAACGTTCTATTGGCAGTTAGTTTCTGGTTGTTTGTTATTTTGTCTACCCTGTCCATTAATCACGGAAGATATTTGGCGTTATATATTTCATATAGCCTACTTTTAGATTATTTTATCACATGGACATGCAGGTAGTCTCAGGATCACCTGAGAGCATCAGTCAGTCACCAGACCCCTCAAACTCTCTGTCGGACAGTATCTCGAGCGCTCCTTTGGTATCACGCAGCCAACCGGTAGGTGTCTCCCGCCCTCCCCTTCGGTCCCGCAACGTGGGGAACTACCTGTTGTATGATCCGCTGCAGGAGAACGTACTCAGAGCTGCGAATGCTCACAGCGGAGAGGAGCTGGTGTGCAAGGTCTGTGGATTAAAACAAATATATACAAGTATTTATTTTTGAAAATATGATGGTGCTCCATCAACTCCTCTCATCTCTTTTCCATCTCAATCGTTGGCACCATCTTCTAGTCTCCTCTCTCCTTGTCTCCTTACTCAAATCAAATCAAACTTTATTTGTCACATGCGTCGAATACAACAGGTGTAGGTAGACCTCACCGTGAAATGCTTACTTACAAGCCCTTAACTAACAATGCAGTTCAAGAAAGAGTTAAGAAAATATTTATCAAATAAACTAAAGTAAAAAATAATAAAAAGTAACACAATCAAATAACAATAACGAGGCTATATACAGGGGGTACTGGTGCAGTGCCAACATGCTCAACAGAAACAGGACACTCATGTACAGTAGGCATGTGTTTGTATCTAGGCTGTGCTAACACAGTAACACCATAATGCAGATCTTGTATTATTGGTTTCGTAGGGCCCCAAAAGTATTCCTGAATTCCAGTTGTTCCACCTATAATGTAGGCTATTGTAGAATCTTTATGACTTCTCAACAGTATTCCTGTGTTCTAGGTGCTTCCTGTCTCTCGGTACCGGGAGGTTCTGTGTTCGTACTACTGCCTGCCCCCCCACCCCAATATAATCGAGATGCGTGATGTGGTTGTCGGGGACGCCCATGCCTACCTGTTCTTCCCACGTTCCTACGGGAACCTGGGGGTGATGCTCCAGGCCCAGTGCCGGCGGCTACCAGAGGACACAGCCAGATACCTGTTCCGCCAGCTGGTGTCGGCTGTGGCACATTGCCATGACAATGGACTAGTGCTCAGAGACCTCAAGCTGAACAAGTTTGTCTTCAAGAACAAGGAGAGGTGTGTGTGCAGGGCCGGTCCTAGCCTTTAAAGGACCCTAGTTGGGGGCCCGTCCAACTTACAACTAGGCAAAACATTTTAGTGGCCCCCCTTTTGACAGCTGGGGAGAGAAAAGTTTTAAAGGTCCAATGCAGACAATTTTATCTCAATATCAAATCATTTCTGGGTAACATTGAAGTACCTTACTGTTATTGTTTTAAATTAAAATGGTCAAAAAGAAACAAAAATAGCTTCTTAGCAAAGAGCAATTTCTCAAGCAAGAATTTTGCTAGGACTGTCTGGGAGTGGTCTGAGTTGGGAGGAGAAAACTGAAAACTAGCTGTTATTGGCATAGAGGTTTGGAACTCTCTTTCTTATTGGTCTATTAACTAATGTATCGCCTGTTGATGTCACCAGGCAGGCCAAAACTCCATCCCACCAAAACAGGCTGAAATTTCAGGCGGTCTTTTCCAACAGCTCTTACAAGGGCATTATCAATTTTCACAATTTCACAATATTATTCCAACCTCATAGTGTGGAAATATATATAAAATACAGGAAAATCACATTTTTCACTGCACTGGGCCTTTAAAGTAAATTTCCTGCAATTCTACGCATTTTGCCATGGGGCAGAGAAAAACATTGTAGTTTTACAGCTAATTTCCTGCAATTCTACCCATTTCGCCATGGAGTGGAGCGACATTGTAGTTTTAAAGCGAATTTCTTGCAATTCTACTCATTTTGCCATGATTTATGCCATGCCATGTTAATGATATCTGAGTTACTTACTAAATTAATGGGGGCCCCCTGGAGGTCAGGGAACCTGGGCACGTGCCCTGCGTGCCTGTATTCGGCCATGATTAATACAAGTTTATTACTCGGATCTCCCGAGTGGCGCAGTGGTCTAAGGCACTGCATCGCAGTGCTAGCTGTGCCACTAGAGCTCCTGGTTTAAATCCAGGCTCTGTTGTAGCCGGCCGCAACCGGGAGACCCATGGGGCGGCGCACAATTGGCCCAGGGTAGGGGAGGGAATGGCCAGCAGGGATGTAGCTCAGTTGGTAGAGCATGGTGTTTGCAACGCCAGGGTTGTGGGTTTGATTCCCACAGGGGGCCAGTATTAAAAAATAATGTATGCACTCACTAACTGTAAGTCACTCTGGATAAGAGCGTCTGCTAAATGAAAAAAATTGTTTGCTGACATGGCTAATTGAGTTACTGACATAAGAGCAAAACTGCTGACGCACAACCATATTTGCTAAATTTCGAAATTGCATCTTGTGTATTCTACATCTTGTGTATTCTAGTTGAGATCCCGACTGAGTTTAATTATTTTTGGTCGGGCGCCGTTTTTGTTTGTGTGTGTGTGTGTGTGTGTGTGTGTGTGTGTGTCAGGACCCTGTTGATGCTGGAAAGCTTGGATGATGCAGTCATAATGCAGGAAGGAAACCTCTCCCCGAATTGCAGCCCAGGACATGGGAATGTCTCTGGCAGTTTGTGGGTCTGTGCTCCGGCTACAGATGTCTGGTATCTGGGAGTGATGCTCCATGCGTTGCTATTGGGCTGCTACCCTGTTGGGGCTGGACTAACCCAAGAGGGGGCTGTACTAACCTCGCAGGCTCGCTGTCTGATACGCTCAGCCCTGCATTCTAACCCCACCCTCCGCCTCTCTGCCTCCGAGCTTCTCACACACCCCTGGCTGTCCACACATGCACAGGCATACACACAGGCACACACACCAGATCAGACTGTACCCACCTGACACACACACGCACGCACGCACACATACAGACACACACACACACACACACCATGTATATAATTTTGTTCTTAATTTTCTTTTATGCTATTTTTACTAACACTATTATATATTGTTGATTAACTTTAACCCTATAGTTGAATCAAAGAGTTTGGAATATACTGGTTAAAGGCACTTAGTCATTGGCTCTTGATATGAACATCAACTCACAGTAGCCTACAGCTCTTGAGTTTCCGTGTACCATTTTAATCATTCCTATCCATTTGTTGCAATAAACTTAACTGACATTATAAAAATGCCTTCTATTCCATGAGCCACATGAGAATTATATCAATATAAAGCTGAGTATTTTCCAAACGCGTTAGAACAGAGTGGACAAGACCAGACACTTAATCAGACTGGGGGGAAAAGTACGTCATGAATAACCACGTTTCCATCTACAGTTTTTATGCCAGTAAAGCAGTGCTTGACTTGGCTTGATATACGTTCCTGTACTCATTTTGGGTGCCGGTACTATTTATATTTAGGTGCAGTAGCTCCACAATACTTTTGAGCTATTATTCTATAAGAAGAACATGAGTTCAAGCAGTAGAAAATGTAAGATGCCAGTACTCAGCTCCGGTGAGCTCCTGCCCAAATCAAGCACTGGAGTAAAGTCATACCATATAAAAAAAAAAATCATGACAGCTGTGACAGAAACAGGAAGTTTCGGAACCATTTTATAAATGCAGACAGATAATTTGTTTGTTCGACATGGTGGGATCTTTTTGTGTCTGTAATATGTATTATGCGAGAAATGGCGGTGGAAACACCTTTATGCAAAAATATTGATATAATAACCATCATATCAAAGTAAACTTGGAGTAATGTGATGATATGGTGTGTGGTCCTCCCACTACGACTTGGAAAACATGTCGTTTATTAGACTACAAATGAAATAAGTTATGATGAACTTCACAGAATGGTGAAAGTAAACGGTGATCTTGATGCTCCTTTCCAATAAATATCGAGGGTCTGATTCTGGTGACATGACGATCGATGCTTGACTGCCGTTTGACAAATACAAATATTCCATAATAATCTCATCATAGAATAGCCTATCTGCAAAGCCTACCAACTTTATCTACCAGTTGTTGGCTAGAGCGCACGTGCCAAGACCAGAGTACAGTGGCTTGCGAAAGTATTCACCCCCTTGGCATTTTTCCTATTTTGTTGCCTTACAACCTGGAATTAAAATTGATTTGTTGGGGGGTTTGTATCATTTGATTTACACAACATGCCTACCACTTTGAAGATGCAAAATATTTTTTGGGGTGAAACAAACAATAAATAAGACCAAAAAAATGAAAACTTGAGCGTGCATAACTATTCACCCCCCCCAAAGTCAATACTTTGTAGTGCCACCTTTTGCAGCAATTACAGCTGCAAGTCTCTATAAGCTTGGCACATCTAGCCACTGGGATTTTTGCCCATTCTTCAAGGAAAAACTGCTCCAGCTCCTTCAAGTTGGAAGGGTTCCGCTGGTGTACAGCAATCTTTAAGTCATACCACAGATTCTCAATTGGATTGAGGTCTGGGCTTTGACTAGGCCATTGTCACGGATTCTGCCGAGGCTGCTCCTCCTCCTTGTTCGGGCAGGCTTCGGCATTCGTCGTCCCCGGAGTACTAGCTGCCACCGTTGAATGTTTCTATGTTTGATTGCTTTTGTCTGTCTATTGCACCTGTGTCCGTTTGTGTCTGATTATGTGTTCTATAAGTTGCCTGTTTTGTATTGGTTAGGTTGTGTGTTGTTTTTCGCATGTTAGTTAGTGCTGCGTGTTTGCTCTGTTTGTTGTTTTGGAGTTTACGCACAGTTTGCGTAATCGCTCGCCTCTGTGTGTTTTGAGGCCGTTTATTGTATTTTTGCCTAGTGGTTAACTAGTAAACTTTGTTGGACTAAGCTTCGGTGTCCTGTGCCTGACTTCCACACCACACTTACATCAGCCCTTGACAGAACAACACACCATTATGGAGTCAGCAGGAGCAGCGGCGGCACCCAAGTCGCTGGAGGATCGGATCAGCGACCAAGACACCATGATCCGGCAACTTTGGGCCGCCATGAACGAGGTGTCCAACACTCTACGCCGGTTGGTTACGGGAGAGGTGCCCACGCCTTCGCACACCTTACCATCACCATCGGCCAGTCCTCCTCTCCCAGCACCGGAACCCAGTGGCATTCGGCTCTCGCTCCCGAGGGCATATGATGGTTCTGCAGCCGGGTGTCAGGGGTTCCTCCTGCAGGTGGAACTATACCTGGCCACCATACACCCGGTGCCCTCGGGATACGAGAGCATCTCCGCCCTCATCTCCTGTCTATCCGGCAAGGCGTTGGAGTGGGCCAACGCCGAATGGAGGGGAATAGACGCCGCTACCATCACCTACGCAGAGTTCTCCCGCCGCTTCAGGGCTGTGTTCGATCATCCACCTGAGGGGAAGGCGGCGGGGGAGCGTCTGTTCCACCTCCGACAGGGGAAGAGGAGTGCACAGGAGTTCGCCCTGGAGTTCCGGACTCTAGCGGCGGATGCGGGGTGGAATGAGAGGGCCCTCATCGACCATTACCGGTGTAGCCTACGAGAGGACGTTCATCGTGAGCTGGCCTGCAGGGACACCAACCTATCCTTCGACCAGTTGGTGGACATTTCCATCCGTCTCGACACCCTGCTGGCTACCCGCGGACGTCCCGAGTGGGGGTCGTCCATTCCACCCTCCAGCACCTCCGAGCCGATTCCCATGGAGCTCGGGGGTGCTGGCGCTAGGGAGAGGAGGAGAGAGAACCCGAGGGGGGCCGTCCCCTGCACCAACTGTGGCCGTGGAGGACACACTGCGGCTAGGTGCTGGGGAGGGTCTCCTGGGAGAGGGGACAACAGGTCACGCACCGGGGAGTCATTTCAGGTGAGTAGGCACCCCACTTACCCAGAGCTCTCTGTTGGTCACATGAGTATACCTGTGAGGTTTCCACAGGTGGCACCTCATTCCCAGCATAAGGCGCTAGTAGATTCAGGCGCAGCTGGGAATTTTGTTGATCATGAATTTTGTTATAGGCTAGGAATTCCCCTTCGGCCGGTAGAAGTCCCTTTCCCTGTTCATGCCCTAGACAGCCGGCCGCTGGGGTCGGGGTTGATCAGAGAAGTCACAGCACCACTTAAGATGACGACGCAGGGGGGTCATGAGGAGATCATTCAGTTTTATCTGATCGACTCTCCTGCGTATCCCGTGGTGCTGGGGCTTCCCTGGTTAAGCGCCCATGATCCTACCATTGCGTGGCAACAGAGGGCTCTTATGGAGTGGTCTGCCCAGTGTGTAGGGAAATGTCTAGGTGTTTCCTTAGGGGCGACCTCGGTGGAGAGTCCGAACCAAGTGCCCGCAATGCGCATTCCCCCTGAATATGAGGATTTAGCACTTGTGTTCAGCAAAACTAGGGCAACACGGCTACCACCTCATAGACAGGGGGATTGTGCGATAGATCTCCAAACAGGAGCGGCACTTCCGCGGAGCCGTGTGTATCCCCTGTCTCAAGAAGAGACCTTGGCACAGGGATACATCCGGTCCTCCACTTCCCCGGTTTCCTCGAGTTTCTTCTTTGTGAAGAAGAAGGACGGGGGTTTGCGCCCGTGTATTGATTACCGTAGTCTCAATCAGATCACGGTTAAGTACAGTTACCCTCTTCCTCTGATTGCGACTATGACGGAGTCATTACGCGGAGCGCGGTTCTTCACAAAGTTGGATCTCAGGAGCGCGTACAATCTGGTGCGCATTAGGGAGGGGGATGAATGGAAAACAGCATTTAGCACCACCTCGGGTCATTACGAGTATCTCATCATGCCATACGGGTTAATGAATGCTCCTTCAGTCTTCCAATCCTTTGTTGACGAGATTTTCCGGGACATGCATGGGCAGGGTGTGGTAGTATACATTGACGACATCCTAGTGTACTCTTCTACCCGAGCCGAGCATGTAGCCCTGGTGCGCCGAGTATTGAGGAGGCTGTTGGAGCATGACTTTTATGTTAAGGCAGAGAAATGCCTGTTTTTCCAGGAGTCCATCTCCTTTTTGGGTTATCGATTGTCCGCATCTGGTGTGAAGATAGAGGTTGACCGTGTGTCGGCCGTGCGTAATTGGCAAACTCCAACCACTGTAAAAGAGGTGCAGCAGTTTTTGGGTTTTGCTAATTACTACCGGAGGTTTATCCGGGGCTTTGGACAGGTGGCAGCTCCCATTACGTCCCTGCTAAAGGGGGGTCCGGTGCGTTTGCAGTGGTCAGCTGAAGCAGACAGGGCATTTGTTAGACTGAAGAACCTGTTCACTTCGGCTCCGGTGCTGGCGCATCCGGACCCCGCTTTACCATTTCAAGTTGAGGTAGACGCGTCCGAGGCCGGTATTGGGGCAATCCTGTTGCAACGGTCCGGCACGCCACCCAAGCTCCGCCCCTGTGCGTTCTACTCTAAGAAGCTCAGCTCGGCGGAGCGTAATTATGACGTAGGGGACAGGGAGCTGTTGGCTGTAGTCCAGGCCCTAAAGGTGTGGAGGCATTGGCTTGAGGGGGCTCAACACCCTTTCCTCATTCTGACTGACCACCGTAACCTGGAGTACATCCGGGCAGCTAGGAGATTGAACCCTCGTCAGGCTAGGTCGAACATGTTCCTGACCCGGTTTGTTTTTAAGATCACATACATCCCAGGGTCCCAGAACGGTAAGGCAGATGCCCTGTCCCGGCGGTATGACACAGAGGAGAGGTCCATCGAGCCTACTCCCATACTGCCGGAGTCTTGTCTGGTGGCTCCGGTTGTGTGGGAGGTCGATGCGGAGATCGAGCGGGCACTGCGTACCGACCCTACTCCCCCCGAGTGTCCTGTGGGGCGGACGTACGTTCCGCTCGAGGTTCGTGACCGCCTTATTTATTGGGCTCATACATCACCCTCCTCTGGACATCCAGGTATTGGCCGGACAGTGCACTGCCTTAGCGT